ATCAGCCTAAGGTCCATTTTAAAAACTGTCTTTGCTATCACAGGTATAAAAGGTTTTTATCCCTTCAATTTTTTATTACAAAAGACATCTGTTAACTGATCTATAAAAATTTCTGACCATTCTTATTTATAGTTACAAGCCTAAACACTGTAAAAAGGTTATTATAATTTGACTTGACCATCCGAGTGCACTTTGGTTTTATAAACAAATCATCTTATGTGTGTTTGTCTATTTGTCCAATCTGTAACTGGTTACAATACTTACAGCTGTTTTGTTTGAGCTCAACAATTTTTTTCTTCTTTTGCCTTTTTAAAATATTTGTCTATAACTTAAGTTGGCTTATAGATCAATGTCATTAGAGTTAAGGACATGCTTCCACCCAGGTTGCCAGTTGATCAAACTGACGTTAAGACTGGTTTTACAAACACAATACATATTGTTGTCTGTGTATAATAACTTGGGAGTCTTTCATGGGTCAAAAAAGATGTGTTAATTGTTATGATCTGGTTCTCATAGGTCATCTGAAAGATTTGTTAAGATGATTAAATGGGGACTCTTAGCCTTAGGGAAACTGCTGGACAGGACTCCCCTTAGTAAATAAAGGAGCAGTTGCCTGGAAATATTTTATTCCAGTAAAAAAACCCCTCAGATATCTCCCTTTCTCTTGTGTTCAGCTACAGTGGACCCTTGAGTTATGACCAGTCTAACATATGAACAACTTGGGTTATGACCAGAATTTTAGTTTTAACTTATAACCAAAGTCTTGAGTTATGACCCAAAAGCTGGCTGCTTATTCTTCCAGATGTCTTAGATACAGATTTAACCCTTAAAGACTTCTGGAAAGAACATTACAACATCCTTTCCTGTGTGGGGCTGAGAAATCATGGGGCAATGTTTCTCCAAGGACACTGAGATCTGCCTATATATAGGAGAGAGACTTTGAAGGCTGTGTAGAGGAGCCTGAGCCTTCATTGACCAACCTGAGTTACAACCAGTTCTCAGGAACGAATTGAGTTCATAAGTGAAGAGTCCATTGTACTTGTCATAAGAGGTACATGTCAACCTAGCATGAGATCACCAGTTAAATAATAGTTGGAAAAAAACTTATGCAATGTGCATGTTGTATACATGTCACTACACTTAGTGATGCTCAGGCACAGAGCAGCCCAAACAATGTCACATACTAAAAAATTAGAGGCTAGATATTATAAACTTCTAAGGTATATTTATAGACCAGTGCATTCTCCTTAGATGGTATCCTATTAAAGGATAACAAATTAGGTGAGAGTTTCTTTATGTCATTTAATGTCTTGTGATCAATTTTAGTATACGTGCTGCCAAAGCAAGCACTAATGTCTTGTGATCAGATACAAATGTTTTACTAAAAAGGGTATCCTATATTAGGATAGGCATTTAAACGTGTTCCACAGAGAATATCATGATTGTTATGCTAACAGACTATGTATGGCTTTTGATTTCAAGTTTTCTCTATAACACTTTATACTCATTATCTGTTAACATTCTGCAGGTATTCAACTACCAAAACAACCATAATTGGTTAAAAAATAATGGTCCTCTGACTGTACTTTATATTTCAAAGTGCTTGATGTACAGATAAAATGTTAATAGTTAAGCTCACTGCTCCCACTGCAATACTAATGTCACTTATCTTCTCTTCTGGGTGTTCAACAACTAAAGTTTGGAAACCAGAACTAAAAAGGTAACTGGGCTAAGAGGATAGCCAATATTTTAGCCCTAGCCCTCTATTGTCAACAAAAACCCAGGACATGAGGGAACCTTTTCTACAGGATCCTACAACTTTGGTGAGTCACCCAACCTCCTGAGCAGGGAGACTGGTGGGCCCCGGGAGGCAAGAATCAACAAATATACAGTGTGCCAAAGAAGGGCTACCAAAGAGGGAAAAGTCTCCCATGCTTTCACAGACAGCAACATGGTCAAGCAAGACTATGACCCATCCACATGGCTGTCACTGAAAGATGAGCTGAGAGGCTCTGTACATGGTTCCAAAAGTGATGCCTAAAGAGACTTAACCTTCATAGACAGCAAGAGGTTAATTCTGATTAAGATGAGTCTTACTTTAACTTGGCCTTAAACACCCAGCACAAAAGTATAACCAAAAGATATATAAAAACAATACCATAGTAACAAAGCCAGATATAAAAAGGCGTTCCAATTGCTGATCCCTTCTGGCAGTTTCCAGATACACTGGTAGCTGACCACTATTATGGTTCATTCAGGAAAAAGTATAATATAATTTATAAAAGCTCAACAAGAGATTTTAAATTCCTTAGCTAAAATTGTCCTTCAAAATCACCCAACTCTCCTTCTTATAGCTGAAACTAGAGGGACTTACTAAAAGAAATATCAGACTTATAGATAGCCTTCATCAGTAGAGGGATCTCAGAGCCAACTAGTTATAATTGCTATTCTACTCCCTTAAGAGCTGTTTCTAGATGTGGCTCTTTTCCCAACATGCCTTTCCATTCTAGTGCTCATGCTTTGATAATACATGCTCTAATTTCTTGGAAAATTTGTTTATTCTTGTCTGGAGGCTGCCAAACACCAGGTGATCAAGCATATGGAAACAATGACAAATGTGCCAGACTCCTTTTACCAGGATCCACTAAACCAAACTTATAAAGGGAATTCATAACTGGTAAACTGCAACAGGACTTCTAGCCAAGGCCCATTAGATTAGCTCTCTGAAGAAGGCCACTGACTGTGGTCTCCCTTATATCAACCCTTTTCGGCTAGATAGAAACTATGCCCCTTATTCCTTAACCACAGTTAGGGATAGCTCTTCAGAGGGAAGAATATTATAGACAGCTAAATTAGTTAAAATATTACTGGCAGTCACACAGGGCTTGGCCCTGGAGAAAGTCAATGCAGAAGATAAGAATATATTACAACTTTGGCTGGAGGCACATTCCTTAAAGGTTAGGCTTCAAAATGAGGAGAAATGACTACACCTACATGGTTCCCCTAGGGATTAACAGCAGTGATGATATTCTAAACAGGTATCAATCACCTTGAGTGGAGAACCAAAATGTCCCTAGCCCATTCCTCCTGAAAAATCCTTATTAGTTCCATGTACCCTTGCTTGCTACGTGACTTGCTTCCCCATTTGATCCCCATTTAATCAATATTGCCTAAGTGACTATACTTCTAATCTTATTGGTCAACAATAATTTTGTTCCACCTTATACTCAACTTGTGATTTTCCATTGGATCAATATTATCTAAGGGACTGTACTTGTAGGTATAAGCATAGTCAACTTATTAGTCGACTATAGTTTTGTCCCAGCTTATATCTGCCTCACCTTGTGGCTTTGCTCTAAAAAACTCCCTTGAGAAATGGGATCCATGGGCAACCCACTTTCTGGGCCCCCTTCTGTCTCTCTTAGAAGCTATCTTTCTCTCAATAAATTCTTCTGACACGCTGAGTTTATGCTCTCTAAAATTGAAAAATGAGTTCTAGGAATAACAGAGATTAAGAGTAGGAAGAATTGCCGGGGTTTTAGCTCAGTGGTTCCATTGCCTGCCTCGCAAGCACAAGGTCCTGAGTTCAATCCCCGGTGCCAAAAAAAAAAAAAGTGGGAAGAATTTTGGGGCCGGGGAATTAGCTCAGTGGTGCCGTGGCCTGCCTCACAGATGCAAGGTCCTAAGTTTGATCCCTGGTACAAAGAAAAAAGAGTAGGAAGAATTTATTTAGACAAAGATAACTTCTGTCTAAGAGAGACAGAAGAGGGTCTGGAAAGTGGGTTGCCCTCAGACTCTCTTCTCAAGGGAGTTTTATGGAGCAAAACCACAAGGCAAGGCAAATATAATATGGGACAAAACTATGGTCAACCAATAAGATTACAAGTAGTCGCTTAGGTAATATTGACTAAATGTGAATCAAATGGGGAAGCAGGTAATGTTGCAAGCATATAGGGAAGGAACAAGGATTTTCTGGGAAGGAATGGGTCAGCGATATTCCCTGGAAGGGATGGGTTAAGGTCTTGGTCCCCCACCCAGGGGATTGATGCTCATTTAGAATATCAATTACTGCTGTTCATCCCTATACCCATGTGGGTATAGTCAAATCTCTTTGTCTTGAAACTTGGCCTTCAATGAATTCACCTCCAGCCACAGTTGCCTTCTGCACTGACTTCTTTGAGGGCCCAGCCCTCTCTGACTACCTATAATATTTCTAACTAACTTAGCTGTCTACAATAATATGCCCTATATCAAAAGGACCATATAGGTGCTGAAACAGCACAAGCAAAGGTCTGGAGAGTGGTTGTGCTGGTGGGTTTGGGTGGCACCAAGGGAGTCTGGTATTGCTAAAGTGTATGGGGCAGGGTGAAGAGGTGGGAGACTGCCAAATTATAAAGATACTTGAAATCTTGCCACACTCCCCTTTCTCTTTGCCACTTCTGAGCCTCGACTCTTGGCCAGAAGCACCTGTCCCCTCCCTTAAGACCTCTCCACATCCCAGGAGGCAGATTCTTGTCTCTGTCTCTCTCTGTCACATACACACATACACTGAGAATAGAACCCAGGGCTTCCACACTGAGCTGTATTCTCACCCCTTTTTTATTTTGAGACGGGGCCTCGCTAAGTTACTAAGTTGCAGAAGGCTAGACTCCAACTTTCAGCCTCTCAGAGTTCTGAATTACAAGTGTATGCCACCGTGCCTGGTTGGCTTTTCATATTTCTAACGTTGTTTACAAGCCTCCCAGGTAATGCTGCCCTCCTGCAAGCCTCCTTTGGACCTATCCTGGTGGGATAAGCACCTCTCCTACACCCACCCCACGCCCACGCCCACCCCAAGCCCAGTGAGCTGTGATTTTGCCAAGGGTAAAGCCGCTGGCGCCCCCCAACCCCATCGCTAAGGAGTGCACCCCCTCCTCCCTTGGGAAGTGGGGCAGTGCCTGGGTTGAACCCAGCGGGGGCGTGGCCTGTCGGGAGGGGGCCGGGGCGGGGTCTTCCCCTACCTGTAGTGGGAGCCGAAGCAGCGGAAAGCGTTCCTGTGGGGGAACGTGGAGGGGTGGTGTTAGCCCGAGGAGGGGAGGGACCGGCTCCGGGCTGTCCGGCCTGAAGGATTACCCTGCGCCCCATTTAACGCCTTCACTCTGAAAGGGGGGTCTGCCCCCTGGATGACAGCGTGCTCCGTTTGGTAGGAGTTAAACAATCGTTCATTTTGAAATTGCAGTTCTCTTGGGCTGCACTGGAACCACTCAATATTTTCCAAGCCTCACATTTTCAAGAACCATTAGGCGTGCGCTATAAAAGCGGCCCAGACCCCACCCTCCGTCCTCCGAGTGTGGGTCCGGGGAGCGCGGCGGCACTTACAGAGAAAAGGCAGGGGCTTCTGTCCATAGCGGTCTAGGCTGGGGTTCTGGTTGAGGCAGTACTGGGGCAGGCAACAAGGACGGGGGAGGGGGGCGGGGGGCGGGCGATAAGCTGGGGAGGAGGGAGGACCCCCCCGCCCGCGCCCCAGAGCGCCCCCTACTGGACATTTTGAGTATCTCAAGATTCTGGTTCTCTAAACCCAGCCTTCGGTCTTCTCTCCCCATCCATCCCATCTCCCTAGCTTTAGCGCTCCCCAGCAGGACTCCCAGGGACCAGTCAGCGCGCATCCTTTCCTACCCGCCAGTTCTGGGTCACATCTGGCTTCAAGTACCGCACCGCGTAGCCGCTGAAACTCTCGACTGCGGAAAGACCCTACCTTGGGTGCCCTGGGCACGCCCCATCCCCAGAACAAGCCTTGCCTCCGTTGCGCCCCCTGAAAGCCCCACTCCTCTGTTGGCCCAGGGTGGCTCCACCTGGACCTGAACACCACTGCCACCTCGAGTCCCTCAACCAGCCTCAGTCTCGCCTGCTGTAGGTGCCCCTGCTACCCCCAGCGCTCTGGCCTTGTCCGTGTTTCCCCCCCTCCCTCCCAGTTCCTGCCACCCGTTTCCTCTCCCCCAGGGCATCCTCCACAGCGGGTAGACAGACCCCTCTTGCCCGGGCAAGGCAGCTTGAACTCCCCAGCAGAGGACACGAAGCGGGACCAGTCCTCGATGGCGCGTGTGAAGCAGGGCCAGTCCATCCAGTTGATGCCTGGCGCGATTGGCGCTAGCTTCCCCTCGCGGTACCTGCGGTGGAGCTTCTGGCCGGTCGCCGTGATGTCCTGCCAGAGTGATGGGGAGCAGGACCACAGGGGCAGATGCATGGCCCCTCCCAGACCACCCCATAGCTCTGAGCTGACATTTGGTTCATCTGAGGAGGGGAAGTTGGAAATGACCTACGTGGATTAGGGGGTGGGGTGGGGGTGTCCCTGCCAGCTGAGGATATGAAAAGGGAGTAGAGCCCACCAGGAGTCCTTGGGGTGAATGTGAGCTAGTGATTTTCAGCAAACCCAGGACCAAGGGCAAAGAACACTCACCAAGCACTGCAGGGGTTTGTTGGGGACCCCCAGGAGTGTGAAGTGGGCATTGTCAAACTCATCTGTTGAAAAAAGATAAGGGAGAAAAAGAGGTGTCCTTCCACCAGCAATCATAACCCACACAGGAGAGGTTTGGCCCACACTATGCTTTACAATTACAAAAAATTTTTGGATGGCTTTTAAACTGGGTGTGATGGTGCATGCCTGTGACACCAGCATTTTGAGAGGCTGAGGCAGGAGGATTGCAAGTTGGGGCCCAACCAGGCAATTTAGTGACTTAGCAAGACCCTGTCTCAAAATAAAAAAAATTAAAAAGGGGCTGGAAATGCAGCTCAGTGGGAAGACTCTGGGCTTGATCCTCAGTACCCACAAAACTGTTTTTGGCTTTTGAGGATTAAGATAATGGTATCCATACTTCACCTTACACATTAGAAATTTGGATCAAGATTTCAATATAAAGAAACGAAGCCAAATGCTATGGTTTAGATCCAGAATGGTCCTCAGAACTCTTATATGCTCAGAGGTGGGGTTTCTGGAAGGTAACTGGATCATGGGAACCTAGAACTGAATGTTATATTAGGAGGTAGGGCCTCGTTGGAAGAAGCAGGTCACTCAGGGCTTGACCTAAAAGGGTGTATCTCCCTCCAGCTCCTACCTTATCTCTATGCTTCTTGGTCACCATGGTGTGATCAGCTTTCTTCTATCAGACCCTTCCACCAGCCTTGGAGCCAGCTGTCTATGGACTGAATCCTTTAAAACCCATGAGCCAAAATAAACCTCTCCTCCTTTAAATTGTGGGTGTCAGGTGTTTGTCCCAGTGGTAAGAAAGGGACTAAGACATCTAAGAAGTAATAGAAGAAAATATGGGCAAATTTCCCTATAAACTTGGAATGGAGAAGGCTTTACTAATTTTAACTAAAAAATCCAAAGCTTAAAGAAAAGATAAAGCTGGGTGCAATGATGCATGCTTGTAATCCTAGGTCTCAGAGGCTGAGGCAGGAGGATCTCAAGTTCAAGCTTAGCCTGGGAAACTTAGCAACTTAGGGAGACCCTGTATCAAAACAAAGAAAAAATGGCTAGGGCTATAGCTTAGTGCAAAAGCCTTATGTCCAATCCCCAGTACCAAAAAAACAAACAAAATGAAACTACATAGAAATAAAACTCTGTATAGCAAAAACATAAAAGAAGTCACAAGACAAATGGAAAACTTTTTTCCTATTAATTTTGCAGATGAAAGGCAATTTCCTTACATTTGAAATCTACAAATCAAGAGCAAAGGAAAAAATACACATGCTTACAATAAAATACATACAAAGTCAGAGCTTTCCCTAAAAATCAAGACTCTGGGATTCCCTTGGGAGCAGGAAATTGGAAGAGCTGATGATCTTGCTGAACCTTTGCACACAGCTCAGCCAGCCTGAGCCCAGGAGCAGCCACTTTAGCAGGTGCAGGTGTGAGTGCCCCACTATACCAGGGCTCCCCTTCCACACTCATCCCTACTACCTCCATTGTGTGCTCCTGTGTGTGTGTGTGTGTGTGTGTGTGTGTGTGTCCTGCCCTAGCCAGAAAGGTCTGGGTGGATCTCTGAGGATCTCTTGTGTGTTCTGACATTCTCACCTGGCTGCCATCCAAGCAGGGATCTAGGTATCACCCTGAACTCCTTCCTTCCCCTCCTATCTACCCTGGAACTCAATCCTGTTGACTTTATCTCCTAAATACCTTCTCTATCCATGCTGAGCAATCCCCCCACCCCAGCCCACGTGTCCAGACTGTAGTCATGGGAGGTGTGTGGAGGGCTCCTCTCTCTGTTCCAGAAGTAGGGGTGAGTGGGCAGGAGTTGTTCTTGTTGCAATTATTATTATTCCTCCCACTGCAAGTGCCCACCTCTGTGCCACACTGTCTCCGTTAACGAGAACCCTAAGATGCACACATGCACTCGAGCCCCTATCTCTCACCATGGGCCCCCTGCACCACCTCCAGACTCTGCCAGCAAGAAGGCCCTCTCCAGATGTGGCCCCTTGATGACCTGGCACCTCTAGAACTGTGTGACAAAATGAACCTTGTTGCACTAAAACTTAAGAGAGCAGTGACGTTAGCAGCACCAGCAATCACGCTTCTTGATGAAATATGTGCCAGGCACGGCTCTGGGTCCTTTTCCTGTCATCTCATTTTAGCCTCACCACCGCCTGGGGGGAGCCTGTCATCGCCCCCATTTCACTGAGAAGGACATAGAGGCTCAGGCTTTGCTGGGGGTTTCTGGGCAGGGACTAGCAGATCTGGACCAGCACCTGCCCCCCTTTCCTCTGTTGCTCATGGCTTCTTCCTCCAAACTCTCTTTCCTTGCCCATCCATCCCTCCGAAGGCCCAATAGGGCCCCAGTGCTGGCGGCAGGTGAGGCGATCCAACCTTTGCGGCAGTAAGTGGTGGACTGGCAGTGCTCATCTGAGAGGCAGGCCTTGCTGGTGTCCATGTCCATCCGGCGCAGGGTGGGCAGGGCTGGGTGGTAGAGCTGCTGCTTCACACCGGCCAGCTGATTGCGCTGTCGCTCCATAGGGAGCAAGATGGCTGAGGATGCGTGCATGTGGGTGGAGCCATCATCCCAGGGCACCAGGTCAATGATGCGAGCCATACCTGGGGAGCAGAGGGCATGGAAGGGCTCACCCTGGGCTAAGCCAGTCAGATACCCTTCCTTGGAAGAATACAGTATTGGCCTTTGCTCATTTGTCTCCCTGTCAAGCATTTATGAGTACCTGCTGTATGCGTACTTCTCAGGAGCCCCACATGCCCTAGAAAAAGACAGGAATATACACACAGGTACATACACACAGGCTATGCCAAGGGATGAAGAGAGGTCAGTACTGTGTGTCTGCAAGGCTGCAGTCTGGCAGAGAATGCTCTAAAAGAGGTGGCATGTGAGTCTGTTAAATAATCTGAACAGGAAAAAGCAGTAGTGAGTAGATTCAAAATGTAGCTCAGAATGCCGAATGACTCTAGGTGACCAATTCTGGATTTGCCTTAGCTAAGGTATCTGGCATTTACCCAAAATTCTACAGAAAAGACTTAGAAGTGTTTTTAAAAAGAGAGATATAATAGAGTTGAACTAGAAAAGCATTGCCTCCATTTAAAAAGAAGATGCTCAAGAGCCCTTTTCAGTCCTTTATATTGTTGACTCGGTTTGCTTTCTTTCCACCCCTGTGTTAGAGGTGAGAGATGGAGGAGGAGCTAGATGGGCAGGAGGAGAGAGGGCCTGGGACCCTGGAAGATGAGGGAGAAGGCAAGGTGATGAGGCAGGGGAGGCTGCCTGGGGAATGAACTGTGTATGGCAGGGGAGGAAAGGAGAGCTCTGAGAGGAACAGAGAGCCTCCTGCTTCTGACCCACCTACTGCAGCTTCCTCGTCTGCAGGGCACAGGCCAAGAGCAGAGACTCGCAAGGACTTTATGATCTTGTGACCGCTCAATGACCAGAAGAGGAAGGGAGGTGGGCCGGGCCTTATGGACGGCAGAGACAATGCCCACTGCAGCCTGATTATGAGGACACAGCTCCTAGGCAACCAGGCAACTGCAGGCTCTGAGAAGGGCTTGTCACCGGGGCTGCTCTGTCCTGGGTGCTCCTTTCCTTCTGGGCCTCAGCACAAGCCAGGCATCTTGGGAAATGTCAGAGGGGGATCTGGGCTCCCTTGAGGTGGCCAGGCCAGGGATGACTGCTGAGGCTACCCCAGGCTTTATGACTCTAAGCTAGTTACTATCTCTCTCTGGGCCTCCAGGCTCCTGTCTGCAACAGGCAAGGGCTCTAGGCCCTACATTAGGGGCACTTAGGAACTAGGTGGGTTCTCTCCTCCCTGAAACCTCAGGGGAGAGCACCCTGCACTGTCTGTGAGCCCTTGGGGCACTAGGGGTGGAGATTAGCTGTGGCCAGTATCCAGGGTCAGTGTGGGGATCAGGGAGAGTGGTGGCCTCAGCAAGCCAGGGATTAGCAGGTGATACTCCACTGCCAGGTTCCTCCCTCCGGGAAAGTCAGGCTGTGGTGCCTGCACTCAGTACTCTGTGCCCAGGCCCTCTTCCCCCTACTCCCTTGGGGTTCTAGCTATCTCCAAGTTTCCTCCATGGAGCAGAGAGGGTACACATCTCAAGTCTCACCCAGATGGCAATCTCCTCTGATCACCCCTCTCACATAGCCATGCCTCCTGGCGTTCACCAAGCCCCATGTTCTGGTTCCAGTTCTGATAAATGTGCCTCCTGTATCCTGTTCCACAAGCAACACTCCCAGTACCCCCCATTTGTCTTCCCTTTCTCTCTTCCTACTTTTACTGCTAGCAGTCTAGCCAAATTGCTCCCTGTCAGGTTGGAGGCAAAGGTGACTATTACTGATGACACAGCCACCCCTTGCAGGCCCAGGGAAGAGCCAAAGAGGCCAGCCTTCCATTCCTGCAGGGGTCTGGCTGGAATTGCTGTGGTCCCTGAAGCCTGGGATCCTAACAAGGGAAGGACAGCAACTGCCTTGAGCTTTGCCATTGGCTTTGGCCTTTTTGGGAGAAAGAATGTTCTCCCATACCACTGGGGGGTATGCCTACCAGGGGCTCTGGAGGGAGAGCCCAGGGGTCTCCCAGTAACAAATTAGCTTGTCCCTCCTGACCAGCTTCTGCTGTCACACCTGCCACTATGAAGCAACTACACATGTTCTTTCCAAATCCTGTTCAAAACCATCACACCTGCTATGGACTGAATGTGTGCCCCGCTCCGCCCCCCGCCCCCAAATTCACATGTGCAAACTAAATCTCTGATGCAGTAGTATTAATAGGTGGGCCTTTAGGCGGTGATTAGGTCATGGGGGCTCCACCCCTATGGATGGGATTAGTGCCCTTATAAAAGAGGCTTAAAGGAGATTTTGCACTCCTTCTACCATATGAGGATGCATAGAAGGCACTGTCCATGAGGGATGAGCTCTTACCAGATGACAAATCTGCCTTGTTCTCCAGCCCCTAGAATGGTGAGCAATACATTTCAGCTGTGTGTAAATTACCCCACCCAAGGTGCTCTGTTATAGCCGCAGAATGGACTAAGACCATGAACTTCAATGGTCCATCAACTAAACCCTCATGGGGTTGATCTGACCCCACCCAGTTCTTAACCTCTCCTCTCACCACTCTCCCTTGCACCCACTAAACTTTAGGCCTGCAGTTGCCTTTCTGCTCTTCAAGGCTCACTGTCCACCCAGATCTTTCTCCAGCCCAGTCTTCTGGCTCTTCATATCTTATAGCTCAAATATCTACTTCTCCTGGAAGCCTGCCTCCCACTGCCTCTCACATCACACACAAATCTGCCCTGTTGGGTTTTTTTTCTTGGCTCAGCATATTTTGCAGTATTTTTCAGTCAGTCGTTTCCTTTTCTGCCTACCCCAGTGGCATTCGAACTCTGTGAGGGCCGGTTCTGAGTCTTTTCTGTTCTATATGCCAAAGCGGGTCTGCTGCCAGGCACACGGGAAGAGATCCGAAAATGTTGCAGATGGTCAGGTGCCTGCCCCTTTGCCAAACACCCCTTGACCCTATCCTTCACCCAGGTCCCCCTTTCCAGGACCTCTGCCCCTTGCACCTCCTCCCCACTAGGTTTCTGGTTCCCCTGAGGTCCAGCCTCAGTTCCCCACAGATTCAATGCAGTCTGTTATCTGCCAGTCTTTGGAACTTGTGACGGTTAATTTTTGGCATCAACTTGACCGCACTAGGGATGCCTAGAGAATTGGTAAAGCACACTTCCTGGTGGGTCCATGAGGGTATTTCCAGAGAAGATTGGCAGGTGAGTCAGCAAACTAAGTGGAGAGACTTGGCCTCAATGTAGATGGCATCATCCAATCCACTGGGAGCCTGAACACAACAGGAAGTAGGGGAAGGGAAAACTCTCTGGCTCTTCCTCTGAGTGGTGTGCTGCAGCCCTCAGACATCAGGCTCCAGGTTCTTTGGCCCTTGGATTCTGTACCTTATACCAGCTGTCCTCCTGAGGCTCTGGGGCCTGAGGCTTGGACTGGGGTTACACTGTGGGCCTGCCTGGTTCTGAGGCTTCATATTCTATTGGTTCTATTTCTCTGGAGAACCCTGACTAACACAGATTTGAGCTAATAGCTCTGTCCTGGGACCATGGCCTTTCTGGAAGAACTTGAACTATTGAAGACTGTCAGCTGGAAAGGGCCTGCCAAGGACCTGGACAGGACCTGACATAGGGCTGGAAAGATGGGGTACACTCCTGCCCCTGCTGAATTGACAAGACCCTGGCAATTTGAGGAGTCTCCCAGAGCCACATGGACCCCAAGCTCTTTTCTTCCGGCAGCCACTCAGTGGCTTGGGCAAGGCCTTGGTACCTGGACAGCTTTCCTAGCAACCAAACCTGGGGCCCAGGTCTTTGCTGGATGCTTACTTGGGGGTTGTGGCTGGCCCTAGGCATCAGTGGCCTCTTCTCTACCCTGCCCCCCTTCAGGACCTGCTAATCCTTTGTACAGCCTGGCTGTTGCTAATTAATCCCTGTGTGTCCCAGAGGCCAGCTTCGAGTGGCAGCAAGAAAGCAATTGCTGGCTGGCGGTTGGTATCTGAGCAGGTAACTTGGGATGAGATGGAGGCTCAGAGGAACCCCTGCAGGGAACCCTTTGCTCAGCTCCTAGCAAGACATTTGGGTGTGATGAGATAGACAAGGCAGGAAACCTGTGGCTTTCCTCTCCTCTCTGGAGCTCCAGCTTCAGTATGCATCAGACTCTTTGGACCAGCTTGTGAAATGCAAATTCCAGGACACCCAAAAGAGTCTGGGAAACCTAGGATCTGCATTTTCTCCTGGTCCCCAGGAGATTCTGAAAATGCTGGTAGTCCAATACCATAGTTCCCTGGGCTGCCACCCCCAGGCTCCCTCATCAAAATGGAGTCAGCTGGGACATGGTAGCAAGGTGGGGGTAGGGAGCAGCCACTAAAGTTCCCATCCAAGAGGGCTGGCTGTGTTTAGGGGAATAAGAACAACTGGGCTTGGAGGAGCCTCTCTAATCATTTCTAGAAGGTTTGGAAATGCAAGGCGGGATTGCTGCTGGCCAGGAAAGGACCTACAGGTCTGGCCTGCAGAAGAAGCCAACACTGGGTAAACATAAATACCCTTGGGACAGATGTTGGGCAGCCGGAATTGGGCAGACCCGAGTGCAAACTCAGTCACTCTCTATCCCTGTCACCCTGGGCAATTCTGCTGACCTAGCTGTGTTCCAGGATGAAAATTCGTATCTGTCTTCTTGGGGCTAGGGGTGTGGTGTGGTGGTGAGAAGGAGGATGGTTATGGTCAAGCCAGGGAAAGGGTTTAGCTCCATTCTGGCTCCTGGAGCTCCCTGTGGCTGGCTGGGGTCCATGGAATCTGCCATCCGAAAAGGGTGACCTTGGGCTCTCCCAGCCCAGGAAATCACGGTGTCCGCACTCTCACCCAAGTAGGGAAATAGAAGGTCAGAAGGGTCATATCTGGCCCAGGTTCGCCTTTTAGAGGCTGATCTGCCTCCCCCGCTCAGAACTCTGCAAGCACCAGGGACTCTCCCAGGAGTACTGGGCCCTGGGCCTGCGCTTTCCCACCTGGGCCCAGGGTCCCTGGCAGAGAGGCACAGAGAGGCATGGCCTCGTGCAGGCCCACATTTATTATGGCCTTGGGCAGGGATCCCTGGGGCTGGCAGTGTACATACACTGACCTGCATGATGCTGGCTGGGCCGGGCCATCCTGCAGAGGTGCAGGGGCATGGTCTGGTAGTCCCTATTCACTGAAGAGACAAAAGTAGAAACTGAACATGTTTGTATAAGGTAGGGCTGAAATGTCACTGTAGACCATGATAAAGAGGTTTAACTGGCATTTTATTTTAAAAATTAAAAAAATCATGAACATAAGTTAATGTTATCTTATGCAACAGATTTTTTCCATTCATACGTGACTCATAATGTATATTTTTGACTTATCATGAGATTATGCAGTACATGATATTCCATAGTTAGTGTTTTCACTTGACACCCCATGGTAGTCCTAACCCACATTTATGAAGCCATCAGCATGTGCCAGTTACTGTTCTGAGTATGCTGTTCTTATCAATTCAGTTTATCTTCACAGTCTGCCCATGGGAAAAATGCCATCAACATCCCCATCTTATAAACAAGTAAAATGAGGTACAGAGAGTCTAATGAATTGATCTGCACATGACAACTCCAGGGAATGCACATTTTCTTGTGTTAGTTCTAACAGATCTGCTTCTTACTTTTTAATGGGTCTCTGTATTCCATTATTGGGTGTATTGTAATTTACTAAATGCATAGCCCTCCTGCAGATGAATGTTTAGATATTTTGCAATTTCTACTCCTGATGAATATTTGGGTATTTTTCATCTTTTACTAGAGCAGTGTTGCAACAAACCTCTTTATACGTATATGTGTATGGCCTTGAGTAATTCTGTAAGGTAAATACCTGGACATATAATTGCAGAAATATTTTCTTAAAGATGATGAACAGAGAAAGAAATGTGTAACCCACAGACATGGCTCATAGATGATGGGAATAATGGTAAGCACTGGGGCGTCTAAGGATTCTGTTCCCTACAGGTATCAGGATGTTGGGCTGGGTCCACAAGGTGCTGCCTCAGCCCCCAGGGACCCCTCAGAAGACCAAGATGCAGGAAGAAGAGGAAGCAGAAGCAGAGCCAGAGCTGGTGCTGGAGCCAGAGGCAGAACCAGAGCCTGAGCCTGAAGCAGCTCCTGAGGAGGCCAAGCCTGAGGGCGAGTCCCTGGTGAGAAGCAGGAGGATGGGGGTCATGAGGAGGGGCAGGCTGACCTGTTGCTTGGGGACTTAGAGCTTGGGCCACCTGCTCCCCATGGTCCTACAATAGAAAAAGCTGGAGCTAGTGGTAGTAGTTGGCTAGTCCAACACTCATACAAACGAGGATGCTCAGGCCAATGGACAGGGCTTACTCAAGGCAGTTTCTATAAAAGTCTGGATAGTATATAGTGTAAGTTGTGGGTCATGCCATCTCTGCTATACAACTCTGCCATTATAGTGTGGAAACAGCAATAGATGATACATAAACAAATGAGCATGACTGTGTTCCAAGAAAACTTTATTTACAAAATCCGGTCTGGATATGGGCCATGGCTATATTTTGCCCACCTCTAGGATCAAGAGTAGAACCACTCAAAGGAGCCAGTGCATGAACTGTTTATCTTCAGTCCACAATGAGATTAGGAACTTGCTCAGAATAAAATCTACTGTGAAAATCTACAGTGTAACTAGGCACCCTTTTAGTTCAGCTGGTATTTGTATTGTAGTAACACTTTCTTCAGTGAAGAAAGCAGGGAGTTACTATACATTCTGGTGCCCACTATTTGATCATAGTGCACCAGTAACAGTTTTCAGATTGACACCAGTGCTTACACCACACCTTGAAGAGCATTTTTCTAGAACTTTTCTTCAAGCATATTAAAACTTGCTGTTCTGCATCCCTTGATGAGCCTGACAACACCTCCTTTAGCAGCTGGGGTGAACAGATTTAATTTAGCTCCCAATTGATGCTAGGCCCTGTGCTCAGGGCTGAAGGCATAAAGATGAATAAGGCATTGCCACTGGGGCCAGCGGACAGGCACCCAGTCAGCTTGTTCTGCCAGAGCAGGAGACAGGGCTGCCGAGGGAATGTGTGAGCCCCAGCATGGAGCTCAGCTCTCTGTTCTGAAAGGGTGAGTGGGTGTGGCAGACGGAGAACTTAGGAGCCCTGAAGACAAAGCTATCACTTTGGGGGTTGGAAGCAGACAGGAAGTGCTTACTAGACTCAGAGGGCTGGGCAGAATTCTCACCTGGGGAGGTGCTGAGGCTGGGCATTCCTGTCAGGGGAAAGGCCATTTCTAGGGTCATACAGGGTGTGTTTAGGAAATGGGCATAGGGTGTGTGCGTGTGTGTGCACATGGGTATGTATGTGTATGTGTTCAGGGTGTCTTTGGAGTTACGTCTGTGCGCACATAGGGGCATGCCAGCCAATGTGTGTGCATTTGTGTCATATGTACTTATGTCTATGTGCATTTGCACATGCATTAGTGTGTGTGGTTCCACGTGTATATGTGACATACTACTGTGTGTCTATCAAATTTCAGAGTATGTGAATATATTTGTGTCTTTATGTGTATGTACATGCTTGTATGTTCATATGTGTGCACACATGTTCACAGATCTCTAAATATATATTTTTTGTGCATGTACATGTATGGTTGTGTATGTAAATGTAGAAGTTTGTGTATGTGTATACACACATATATGCACATATTTGTTTGTCTGCAAATACACACATGTACATATGCCTGTTTATATGACTGAGTATACTGAGCACTCACATTTATGTGGTGTATACATATATACATATATACATGCAGAGAGAGACATGCAAATGTACCTATGTGTATGCACATGTCTGTATGCCTACATTGGCAGGTCTATATACATGTGTGTGTCTGCATGCATGCATGTGTGTATATATGCCTTGGTCACATGTGCTGGCATGTATACATTGTAGCATATATGTGTACATAAATATGTGTGTGTACACTTGGCATCTGTACATGCATTCACATGTGTGTGCAATGCACTTATTTGTATATACATACTGAGATATATTGTGTCACAGCATATATACCTATGTGTGTGTACATGCTTATATTTGAGTCCATGCACATATATAAATCCATGTGAAAGTGTGTGCACGTTTGTGTGCATGTGAATGTTTGTCTGTATGTGCACATAGGTGCATGCAGTAGCAGGAGGTGTGGCTGCAGAGGCAGGTGCGAGGCAGAGGGCAGAGGTGGAGCTCTGTCTGCTAGAGGACTGGGAAGTTTGTGCCAGAGGGAGGGTGAGCCCTGGCTGGGTGAGGGAATGGGCTCCTCCCCTCCCGCTTCCCCCGTGTTTCCCAGGCCTTCATAACTCTAACTGCTCCTCCCTCTTCTAAGGTCGCTGAAGTGGCACAGCTTCCTGGGGAAATGAGAGGTCTGGGAGGTAGGAGTGAAGGTTCCGCTCTGGGTATGGGACCCCTAGGGCTGGAAGGAAGAGAGTGCGCCAGGTGGAAAGCGAGGCCACCAGGACTTACAGAGATGGCCAAGAATAGAGCCAGTTAGCCCTTCAGCAGCTGCGGGTCCCTTGGGGTGAATCAAGGGCTCCTCCTGTCGAACCAGGCAGTCTTACCTACAGTTTATATGGTCTTATTTGAACCCTCCAGCCCCCTGAAGAACCAGCTCACGAGGAGCAAGTGGCTGCGGCTGACTCCAGCCTTCAGGGTGAGTGCTGGAAGCCCCAGCAGAGCCTCATGCCGGCCCCTTCCCCAGATGAGGAAACTGAGGCTCAGAGAAGCTCGGGGTGGGCTCCTGGAGACTTTTCAGCTGAACCGAACTGGAACCCTGGCCTTCTAAACTTTGGGAGTCTCCTTGCTCTCTTGCCTCTCAATGGGATAGAAATGGGCCTCTGGGAGGGCCTAGATCTAAAGTCTGGGGGACTCTTTTCCAGAAACCCAGGAGGCTGCCCCTCCTCTGCCCACAGCCCTCCAGGCCCAGGTCACAGTGGCTCCCGATGTGTACAGGTAACCTCACCACCCTCCCCCTCTCCCTAGGGCCAGCACCCTACTCCCCTCCAAGCCAGTGGGCCACTGGGGAGGGGGAAAGGGCAGCACTGGATTCAGTTCTGGAGTTGTTCTGGGAGAGGGCCCTGGAACATCCTGGAAGTTGGCTGGGGAGAGCTTCAGGGAGCATGGGGGTCTCCTGGACCAAATGGGCATCATGACCTAGAGAAATGGAGGCTGGGGCTGCAGTAACAAGCACCCCTTCTAGGGAGTCCAGGGCTGTCTCAGGGCTGGGCTGATTTCAGGGCTTCTGATTTTCCCAGCAAAGCTAGAAATCTACACTTGTGCCTGGAATCTCCCTGTTGGCTCAGACATTGTAGCCCCCAGTGCTCCTCCAACTGAGCACATCTGGGCTAAGGGTGGCACTGAGCTCAGGCAGTGAGTCTGAGCCCTCACATGTGGATGAGCACCCCAGAGGTACACCCCACAGACCTCTCTGGAGCTTTGAGTATGTGTTCATAGGCTGGGGCTTAGAGCCGAGGTGACAGGATGGGGACAGGAGAGGCTGGCCATGCTGTGCTGAGCAGCTGGTTGGGGGGCTCCAAACAGCATTGGGCATACCTGGCCTCATGACAGGAGCCACTGGTGTTCCCCATTTGTCAGAGAGGACCATGAGGCTCAGGAGGGAAGTGAGAGGTCTGAAATCTCCCAGGCCCAAGCCTCATCCTTTGGGCCACTGTGGGCTGCCATGCAGGCCGGGCTGGGCTGGGGCTGAGGTAAATGGTTGTCTCTCTCTGTGATCTGGCAGCTCCAGTGGCTGGGTGCTGACCTGGCTCAGGAAGAGCATGGAGAAGGTTGTGCCGCAGCCTGCCTGGAGTGGCAGGATGGCCCAGAATGGTGTTGCTGACACAGGGGCTCCAGCTGAGGTATGCAGGGGCTGGAGGCTGAGGAGGGGCCAGCTGGAGAGCAGTGGGTGGGAGGCTGCCCCTGGGCTCCTTGCCATGTCTGTCTGGTCTGTCCCCGTAGGATGGAGCACAGGTCATTGGGCTCTGCAGCCCCAGGGACACAGGTAAGGCCATGAGGCAGGGGGACTGTTCAGGGTGGAGCCAAGGGGCAGTTGGGATGGGATGCCCCCTGGGAGAGTCCATGTTGGCCAGAGCTTCTCTAGGCTTGGACCTGGGCTTCAGAGGGTCTCTGGTTCCTGCTCCAGGCTGCCCAGGCCCTGGGCAGTTTCCAGGCAAGTCTCTTATAGTTGACCACCTTTCTCTATGTTCTTTTTCTCATTGATTTTATTTGCAATTAATTTTTTTGATACTGGGGATTGAACTCAGGACATTGCACTTTCGAGGCAGGTGCAGCACCACTGAGCTAAAGCCCCGGCCCTATAAATTTATTTTTAATTGAGTTTATTTTTTAACTGATACTTAAAAACACAAAAACTATATACATGTGATGTTTTGTTATATGTATACATTGTATAGTAGGTCTACCAAATCTTTCTCATTTCTTTATGATTAAAAACATTCAAAAGCTTTTTTTCTAGCTTTGAAAAAAAAGTTTTGTACATCAGGCATGGTGGCACATGCCTGAGGTTCCAGCACTCAGAGGCTGAGGCAGGAGGACAAATTCAAGGCCAGCCTGGGCTACATAGTGAGACCCTGTCTCAGAATAACAACAATAACAAAAACAACAACAAAAAGTCTTGTATTACTGGAGATTGAACTCAGGGCCTTCACACCAGGCTATATCCCGAGCCCTTTATAAAATTTATTTTGAGACACAGTCTTGCTAAATGGCCCAGGCTGGACTTAAACTTGCAATTGTCCTACCTCAAGCACCCAAACTGCTGGGATTACAGGTGTGCACAGGCATGTGATATAGACAGGACCCAGTTGCTATCAATAGTCACTCTGTGTAGAGAGCATACCAGAACTCGCTCCTGTCTAGCTGCAACTCAGTACCCGTTGATCAACTTCTCTCCATCTTTCCCTCCGTGCCTTTCTCTATTTTCTAACCCTGAAGGGATTGCAGATGGACCCAGTGGGGCCCCCAGAGCCCAAGATGCTGGGTGAGTCCCTATCATTGTGTGTTACTGTTACCTTCGGGTGTGGGCTGAGCAGTGTGCCCACAGCTGAGGTTCTGGGTTCAGGAGCAGGGCCTGCTGCTGCCTCTGTGTGCGACCTTGCACCTGCCTGTTCCCTCTCCTGGACCTCACTTTCATTATCCATGGGCTTGGGACAATGTCCATGTGCTGCCTGTGGCTTGTGATACTGCTAATGGGAGACCCTGGGGGGGGGTCACCTTCTGAGAAGGCAGAGGTGGTGGATAAGGTCCTTACACGTGGCTTTTGTGTGGGTAAGGTTCACGTGGAGTCCAGAAGGAGAGCTTGGAGGCACTGAGGTGCTCAGTCGTGTCAGCCTCACAGTCAGCAACAGTGGCTGACTCCTTAGAGCTGACGGACGGTGGCTTCCTCATCAGTGAAGGTGGCCGGCTGGTGAATGGGAGAGCCCATATCCTGCTGCAGGGCACCCTGCTCAGTTCCAACTGCCTCTGCCTCAGTGGGAGTACAGGCTCAGCATGGCACAGACAGTGGTGATAACTGTAAAACAAAGCACAATCTTTAAATCTGTAATGATGAAACATGACATAGTAAAGTCCTTTGAGCCCTGTGGATAAAAACAGCTTTATAATAATGGTTTACATTTGTAAAGTGCTCTGGTGTTGTATGAACCTCTGGTATTATAAGAAAAGACATAAATCAAGGTTTTTAAAGTAAAATCCTCATTTTTAGATGGTGCCAACTATAACCCAGAAGTTTCCAGGACACTGTGGGTCCCCAAAGTAAGCTTGAAGCATTCATCTCCAGTTACCTCATTCATGCATTAGATTGTTGACCCCACTGAGGAAAAGGGCTTTTGTTCTGCCACAGAGTGGGGACTCCGTACACATGGGACACATGAGTAGATGAATACAGACAACCACACGCTCTATCCATGTGCGCATTGTGCCAGCCCTGTTTCTTTGGGTCCTCTACTTCCTTCTGAGGTAGCTGCTTGGCTGACTCCTGGGACCACTGAAGTCCTTTAGGATGAGGGTAGCAGCAGGACCTTCCAGCTTTCTTTTGGGCCATCCCTGTGGAGAAGGGTTGGCCTGGGAATGTGCAGCTCCCTGTAGAAGCTGGGGTTTCTGGGAGAACAGCTAGATCTGGGAACCCAACATTTTCCCCTGGGAGCATATAACTGATGGTATCCTGTCCAAGATGAAAATGCTGGGCTCCTTTAAAAAATGTTAATTTTCAGACTATGACAGTAGTGCCTTGTCTTAATTACTTTTTTCACTGCTAAGACAAAATACTCGACACCCAAAGTTAAAGGAGGAAAGATTTATTTCAGCTCAGTTTGTAGAGGTTTCAGTCTATAGTTAGCTGGTTCCAAGGCAGGGTGGCATGGCAGAGGGGCATTGGAGAGGAGAAACAGTACATGGTGTGGCAAAAGGAAGGCACCAGGCATCAGCAGCAGCAGCCTGCCTTCTTTCTGTTCCTTTATTTTCCACCCAGGCTACAAGCCTGTTGATTGACACCACCCATACCCAAGGTGGAGCTTCCATTATCCACCACCTTAATCCCAGTATTACACCCTTAATCTACATTCACACACTGTAATCCAGCCACCTTCGAGACTCCCCACCGATGACTGCGAGGGGCTTTGGGGGGACATCTAGATATAAGCCATAACATGCATTAAACACAAAATGGGTATTTCTAAGTATGGGGCCTTATATGTGATTATATAGGTCATGCACCCATGAGGGCAGCTCTATCTGTCCCTGTCACAGGGAGCTTCCTGTGCCACATTCAGATCCCCAAGTAGCTCCCACACCTCACCTGCTGCCAAAGCTGGGTCAGGTGCTCCAGAGCTTGGTCCAGCCCTGGGTCTGAATGTCAAGTTGGCAGGAGTTTCCTCGCCTCCTGGGGGCCTTTTGAGAGCACTGAGCACAAGGTCCCACTGCAGAGCAAGAGCCCAGGGCAAGGAAGGGCTGGTGAAGGCCAGGCCCCCAGAGGGCAGTCAGGATGGTATGTCTGCCCCGCCTTCAGGCTGCCCACTGGCCCTTCCACAGGTCTAGCCCATGGCTGCTCAGGTGGCTCAAGCAGAATCTGGAGAAAGTGCTGCCTCAGCCCCCAAAACTCCCTGAGGTGAGTGTGGAAGGGGAGGGGTGGGCAGCATAGCCCCTGGGAGGGGTTCTCTAGCAGGCTGTCCCCTTCCCTGGGACCCACCACAGGGTGATCTCCTCCTTGGAGCCTTCTTGATGGGAGGTGAGTGCCTGGTGATGGAGGGATTCCGGGGCAGCACTGAGCCCCTGCACTGGCCTCAGGCCAGGGCACAACTGGCCAGGATGTGTTGTGCATAGGATTTGCTTTGATCTATGACCTATGAACCATGACCTATGACCTCATTGCCTGTTTGTGTCCAGGGTTGCAGAGCTGAGCCTGCGGATGCTGTCTTGGGCCCAGGTACAGGGAGTGAGCCTGGGAGGGGCCAGAAGGTAGTTATAGTCTGGGCTTGCGGGAAGCAGGCCTGGGGGATTTGGGGGGAGGCTGTTAACCCTATCCCAGATGAGGGAGGGGTTCAGAGCTTGCCAGGAGTGGGCTATTGTGCATGTGTGTGGGGGCACTAGAGCCTCCTCCCTAGCCCAAGCTGGGAAACAAGTCTGGGGCAGACTCATGAGGCCTTTGCCAAGTCTCCTCTTTGGGGTGGTCCCAAGAGGCTCCCCACCCAGTCATGTTAATGCTTCCAATCTGGCACCCTCTGCCCTGGAGGGACTGAATGGAGCCCTGCCAAGGGTCTTTAGCTCCTGTTCTCCCTGCTGCTTAGAACCTCTGGGACCGACCCTGGAGATGGAGCCCACCGAGAGACCCTCCCTGCCCAGTCCTGGCTCCCTGGAGCCTGAGGTGGAGCCGACTGCAGAGCCCCAGCCCAGCTTCCAGGCCTCCTCCCTGACACCACCCAGGGACCCTGCCAGGTGAGCCCCCAAATGCTGCACCTCCTGTGAGGAGCAGGATTGTGCCTTGGCCCAGGCCAACACCCAACCTTCACAAAGGTAATTTTTTAAATTATAGAATTAACACATGTACCTGGGGGAAAATTCACTGGGCTGTGCAGAGCTTCCCCACATCACCCCCACCAGCAGCTCTGGTCCTCTCCCAAGTTCCCTCAACCCACACCCCCAAGCCAAGAGGGCACTTTTCCTTTCAGCACACACCTAACCAGAGCAAGCTGCCTGTGCTCTCCCTGGCCTTGCTTTCTTCACCTGAAACACTCCTGCAGGTGGGCTGGGGATTTAGCTCAGTGGTTCCACCGCCTGCCTTGCAAGTGCAAGGACCTGAGTTCGATCCCCGGGACCAAAAAAACAAAAAAAACACTCCTGCAGAGGTCGTTTGATACAGAGGGCTCTCCTTCACTGCCTCAGCAGCTGCATGGGTCTCCATTATACGTGCATAACAGCTTTCATGTAACCTCTCAGTGGACACTTAGATTTGTTTCCACACTTTTGCTGCAACCAGTAGCCTTGTATGTGTCTCACTGGCTAACATACAAGTAAATCTGTAGAATAAACCAGTGGAAGTGTAATTGGTGGGTCGAAGGTTACATATTTAAAACCAGGCTGGGTGTTGACAAGTGACTGCACCCTGGCAGTGAGAGCCCGGAAATGCTCTTCTGGGGCTGAGGGGGCAGTGTGGGGTTGCTGAGCTGCCTGCTGGGGCCTGAGCAGTAGCTGAGCTACTAGAGTTGATGAGCTAGGGACGATGGGGATGGAGGAAATGATCTTTGGGGCTGGAGACATGGGTAGAAGCTTCTGGAAGGCTCTAGCTCTTGTCGGTCTTGCTATCTGTCTGGGGGTTTAGGGGAGCTACTCTGGCCTCAGTTTCCCCATGAGCTTCCCACCTGGATACAGCTCACCCTCTCCCATGGCAGGTTGATAGCATGGCTCCTGCACAGGCTGGAGATGGCCCTGCCGCAGCCGGTGATCCATGGGAAAACTGGGGAGCAGGTCAGTGCTGGGCCTACAGTGTGGTGGAGGGCACAGGGGCGGGCTTGGGAGCTCAGGTCAGGGTGAGACAGGCAGCCCGGAGCGCTTGGGGAAGGCAAAAAGAAGGGAGCCTGTGGTGGACGCACAGACCCCCAGCCTGCCTGTCTGTGTGGCGCATGTTCATCCCACACACTCTCTGAGGCACCATGGCCGCAGGCAGGGAAGTGCTGGCCCATCAGGAGCTCACACTGCTTTGTGGGGGACAGGGAGGGTGTGGGGCTCAGAGACAGCGCCTCCTGGGAGCATCAAGAAGGCTTCCCAGTGGAGGTGACCTCCAAGCACATGCAAAGGCCAGGAGACAAGAGAGACCTGGGATATTCTGGGATGAAGTGGGGCTCACACGAAGCCAGCAGGTCCTGTGTGAATTCCATGGCAACAGGGGTGGTGTGGGCAACAGGACCTCTGACACTCAGTCCTTTCCTTCCCCAAGATCCTGGGACCTGGCCTTCTTTCTTGGGGACAGATGCACATTTTTGTAGAAGTACCTGAACTGGAAGGTGGGAGGCCTGTCTATGTGACCTTTGCCTGGTCCCAGCCTTCTGGAAACCTCAGTTGTTCCACCTGAGCAATGGGCTAACAATCCTGCCACCACCCAGAGTTGTGAGAAAGCAGGAAAGTGTTCTGTAAGAGAAGATGTCCTGGCCCAGGAGAGAGGAAGCCCTGGCCAGGTCCTGGGCCACTCAGCTACTCAGGGTCCTTGCCTGGCTCCTCTGAGCACGTGCCCTTGCTATGGCTATCTGGGGGCACCCCCAGCCTGTCTCACTGAGCCCCCCCCCCCAGCTCCCTCATTGGTTCTGGGCACAGCATGGACCTTCTTCCCCATTTCATGGGACAATGCGGGCCAAGAGAAATGAGTCAGGGTCACATGGCTGGCATCAGAATCTAGGTGTCTGGACTCCACATCTGGACTCTTCCATCAGCCCATCTTCCAAGCTGCCCTGTGCTGGTGGCTGTGCTGGGGAGAACACAGGAAGCCTGGGCTTAAGCCTTCAGGCTTTGCATTCATGTGGTCCCTGCAGGAAGCTGAACTGGCTTCAGAATTGGGGATGCTCAGTGGCCAAAACAATTGGTTGGTAGAGATGCCCTGGCTGAGAGAAGGGGCCCGAGGATGAGGGTGAGGCAGAGAAATGGAGAGGCCTGGGAGGGGCTTTGAGCCAGCCTCCAGGAGGGCGGGAGGAGGGTGTCACAGAGAGCAGAAGAAAGGTCATTGCCGGTGGAGGTGCCACCTGAGCAAAGACGCTGAGAGGGACCAAGCAATGGCTCCAAGGGGACAGGGAGAGGACAGAGGGCAGCCTCTGAGGCAGGGGATGGCAGGGAAGGGTAGAGCTTGAGGCACTGGAGTCTTTTGGGGGGATTTGGAAAGCCCCTTGGCCCTGGGTGTGCCAGGAGGGGGCTGAAGTGGGGAGAGAGGCCAGTAAGGCAGCCACGATAGCATCTTTCCTTTTCTCTGTGCAGCAGCTGAGGTCCTCTGAGATGTGCGACGTGCAGACCCGTAAGTGATACATTAGTGGGTCCTTATGTCTATCTCTGGGAGGTTGCTTTGTGTCCTTGGGTCTAAGTGGGGGGCATAACTGACCTAGAGCTGCAGGGGTTCCTACTCTGTGGGCCTCACCTGTGGTCAGCCTGTGCGGCTGGCCAGGGCCAAGCCTGGAGCCAGAATGACCCAGACGTGGTATCTAGCACCCATCCAGAGGATGCAGCCCCCAGATGGGCACCCCTTTCCTGTGGGCAGCACCAGGAAGAGTGGCCCTGGCCCCTGGCTTCAGGGTGAGTCAGTTTGGCTAAGCATAGTCCTGGTCAGGGGAGAAGAAAGGGACAAGGCGTCCCTGGGAGAGCCAGATCCCACAGATGCCAGTGCCCCTGAGCCGGGAGGCGCCGCCTCACTGTGGCTGGGCTGGGAGGTGATGATGCCTTTTACCCCAGCCCTGAGCCAGGGCTGATGGATGGAGGACAAAGGCCAGGCAGGGAGGGCAAGGGACAGAATCTGTTCTTCCTTCACTTCATGCCCCTGGAAAGGGATGTGATGGACAGGCATTCATTCATTCAACAAACATAATGGGCAGCCCACAGTGTGCTGGCCTGTGATAGGCTCTAGCAATGAGCAAAGCAGTGTTCAGGGCCTGCAGGTGGTGGTAGCCCCTATACCATTCTGGACATAGGCCCTCTGACCCTGGGTGTGGGGGTCCCAGGGCCACTCCCCACTGTGTATGCAAGGCTTTGTAGCCCCCGGGTGAATGGTGGTCTCAGCCTGCTTCGGTCGGGGCCTCCCTGCAGGTCCTGGAGTATGTGGTCACGGGTGGGCGCCAGACAGCAATGAGGACAGATGGTGCAGGTCCGTCTTCTAGGGTGGCCATAATAAATGACCACAAACTGAGTGACTCAGGAGAGCAGAAGTGTGTTCTCCCAGGACTTGGGAGCCAAAAGTGCAGAATCCGGGTGCTGCCAGGGTTGGCTCATCCTGACGCTCTGAGGGAGAGACTGTCCCCTGCCCACTCCTGGCTTCCGGTCACTGCTGGCTGTCCTCAGGGGTCCTTGGCTCTAGCTGCCCTCCAGTCACATGCGGCCTTTTCCTCTGTGTCAAATCCTCCTCTCCTTTCCTCTGTAAGGACAGCTGTTACTGGATTTAGGATCCACCCTAAATCCAGGATGATCTCATTTTGAAATCCTGAATTTAATTATATCTGCAAAGATCCTATTTCCAAATAAGGTCACATTCACAGGTGACAGGTTAGGATTTGTGCACATCTTTGGGGAGGACACTATTCAAGCCACCTCCTGGGGTAACTTGAGTGGTCGGGGGAAAGGGGTGTCTCTTTGCTCCCGCCCTGTCCCCTGGCCTCCCCTAGCCAGCCGGCCATCCACCCCTCCGCCTGTCCACCAGCTGCCCACCCTCTGTCTTCTCCTTTGTTTCAGGGGTGGTGGCAACTGGAGGCCTCTGAAACAGGGGAGAAGGGGATCTGGGAGAGCGCAGATGTACAAACAGACGGATGGATGAAAGGACACAAGGACACCCTGAAGAGAAGACTGGCCCAGGGGAGGGGGAGAGGTGGCCACTGATCCTCCCCCTGCTTGAGCTGCGAACCCCTGGTCCTGGCCGATTCCCAGCTCTGTCCCAGAGGCTCCTCTCAGTGTCCCTGGCAAAGAGGCAGCAGCCAGACCGCAGCAAGGGGAGGGCTGGCCACGGGCAGCCATGAGATTCAAAGTACATAGTGGGTAGACCTCCTCACCGGAAGGCGCCCACATCCCCACACAGGCCTCAACACTGAGCACCTCCCTTCGACCACACACCACACCCCTGGGGGACCCAGTTTCTCCCAGAAGTGGTCCTCCTAAGGCCTGGCCATTTCTCTTCCTCAAAGGACTGGGGACTACCCATGATTAGGGCAGACATTTTAACTGACATTAAAAATAATGAATTAGGACCGGGGATTTAGCTCAGTGGTTTCACCGCCTGCTGCGCAAGCACAAGGACCTGAGTTCGATCCCCAGTACCAAAAATAAATAAATAAATAAAAGTAATGAATTAGAGCTGGGGATTTAGCTCAGTAGTTCTACCACCTGCCTTGCAAGTGCAAGGTCCTCAGTTCGATCCCCAGTACCAAAAAAAAAAAATCATGAATTAGCACTTCACACCTGTGATTGCATGATATCCTTGCTTGGAACAAGCCTGTGCCAAGTGTGTAGGTTTTAAAGGGGTGGACTGAATGGGCTGTGTCCGGTGGTACCGGGGTTGCAGGAAGGGAGGAACTAGCCTGAGGTCCCAGCTGGCCCTGGTGTCTTTGTTTGGGTCAAGGAGTGATTTTAGAAATTAGAATTAGTTACCAACATTTAAAGCATAGGCTTTGTATAGAGGAAGTCTGACCTGCTCAGAAAGTGGGAAGCGCTGGCTGTGAGGGACCCACACTGTTGGGGAGGACAGGTCAAAACCAATGGCACTGGCCCTTCATTTGTACCCACCATTGAAATTTGGGTTTGAGCCCATGGCGTCTCAAACTGGCAATGAAGCAGAATAATTGCAGTGGAGGGAATAAAGCGAAAAAACACTGGGAGGTAAGAGTGCTGGACACTTCAGCTAATTCAAGCCTCGAATCCTTGATGCTGAAGGTAAAGCTAGATTGTTGGGGCCTAACTCAAGGAGACTAGGCTATAGTCAGCAGGGAGCCATTGTGGGTAGTTGAGGGAGGGAGGGACTTCACAAAGATTACACCAGGGCCGAGCAAGCATCGGAGGCAGGGAAAGCAATCAAAGCAGCTAAAGCAACTGGGAGCAACTGTCAACAATGTCGCACCCCTAGACCTCATGATTACAGTGTGGGTAGCCTGAGAGACTGTCTCTTCCAGAGGTGCCCACCTCCCCACATGGTTCTGATGATGGGAGGGACTGGGGCCTTACTTCTAAAAATGTCCAATGAGTGAGAGGCCAGTGCTTCAGGGCCAGGTATCTGTACTAGGGAGAGGGAGTGTCACAACCCAGACCTACCCAAGAGGACAGCTTGGAGCCAGCACTTTGGCTATGTTAGTGACCGGGGTCTGGGGTTGGGGCTGGGGTGGCCTAGAACCTATGTACCCCGGCACCCATCTGCTGGGGCTCCTTCTCCATGGGACTGCTGGTCTTCACTGGCAGGGATCAGAAAGCCACTTGACGGCCCTGAGGACAGAGAGGTCACTGAGCAGGAGCTGGCATATCTGAGAGGAGCCCAGGGGCAAAGCACCAGCCCTGAGTGGAGCAGCAGCTCCCTTGTGAGCTGGAGCCACCAGAATCTGGGTTCCTGGGGGCCCTGGAGCATCCGGGAGATTCAGACACCTGCAGAGGGGCTGGAGCTCCAGACCAGGGTGGTGATTTCTTCCTAGTCCTGCAGGGCCCTGCCCTGGGTGATGTGGAAGAATACCCTTCCTTGCCCTCCTGGCTAGGGACCTGGGCACCATCCTCTTCTCAAGCTGGGGCATCTCTGGCTGTAAATTGGGGACAGTCTATGGTCTGCTGCAGAGAAGAAAGTTCCCACCCAGGACGACACCTAGTACCAAGTGGCTGCCTGTGCTCCGTGGAATAAGGGGTCAGGACACCAGGCTCTGGGCTCTGTCTCCAGCTTCCTGTGTGGCTGGGCTGGCTCTTTGGTCTATACAGTTCAGAGCTCTGTTCTCAGTCTTCTGGGTGCTAATGAGTCCTCAGGCTGGGAAATGTTCTGTGCCCTGGATGTCTCCTGCTGTGCCCAGGCAGCAACTTGTGTCCCAAGGGGCTCTTGGAGTGTAGAGGCTACACCACTGTGGACAACAACATCTCACATATCCCTCCACTGGATGTCGGGTTGGAGGAACCTCCCTCAAACCCTCCAGGGAGATCGAGCCCCAGGGACATTTGCAGGGCCAGAGACGCCAGGACCTACCGTGGAAGAGCTTCGTTCAGAGTGTGCAGGGGGCTTCCCTGGGAAGCAGGGATAATATCTGTACTTGGAAGCTGGGAGTCCCAGGCCTGACCCATGGGAAGTGCCCCATAAAATAAAGTGATCATCTACTTCTTAGTTTGCTCATTTGTAAAACAGGATAAGATACAAAAGTATAGAAATCAAATGGGAATAGTAATTATTCCCATCTCAGAGGTTGCTGTGAGGACTAATAGAGTTAATCCTTGTAAATCACTCAGCACAGGGCCTGGCTTGGGAGTGTAGCTGTACTTACTATTGCTGTCTTTGTTACTGTGCTACACCATGAGCAATAACCTCCAAGATCACAAAAGAAGCCTTGAGACCAGCTTCTATTTAAAGTCACAGTTACTAATTGATGCTTGGCTCAAGGGCCATCAAGACCCCTGGAATTTTGGGGGGATACCTGGTGTCCAGGCAGTCTGGCCCCTGCTCCCTGACATTTGCTTGGGGTGGGCTTGGGTTTAGGATGAGACTCTCCTGTACTCTTTTCTCCTAAGCTTCCAGGCCCTGGGTGTTTTCATTGTCAGGGTCAGGGTGCATGGAGCAATGTTGGAAATTAGACTGCTTTCTGAAGGGAGGATTCCTCCACCCACCTCTCCACCAGTTCCCTTGCAGGTGGAGCTGTGAGGGCTAGGAGGGCAGGGAGGACTGCCTGAAGCAAGTGCTGGGCTCATGGGGATGTTGTCACCAGGACCAGCCTGCACCACCACCTGCAATGCTGTAGTGTGGAGCACTTTTTTCTCCAGCACAAACTTCTAAGAAGGAGGCCTCAGTGAGAAACAAACTTGATCAACCATAAAGCTCCATGTCAAGAGAAAAAGGGAGAAAATAAGGAAAGGAGACAGGGTGAATGACTGTGGGCTTCAGCCCATCACATGAGCCCTGGCCCAGTGGTCAGTGGTTGTGCTGGCCATGGTGCCTTCCTTGCCCGTTGCTTGCTAGGAGCTCATGTGCTGCTGGCTACATCCAGGGCTCCCTCTCATACCCCATAAAGGCCCCCTCTGCATTCCTGCAGTCAGCATCCTCCCCACGGAGCAGGTGGATTCTGACCTTGTCCTCGAAGAAGTTGACCCTCACTGGGAAGATGCCGAGCAGGACAGCAGCACCAGCCCACAGGGGACAGAGGCAGCTCTGGTGTTTGAGGAAGAGAATGAGGCTGTGATAGAGATGCCCAGGTGAGGAGCCAGAGAAGTCCTGGGAAAGAGTAAAACAACAGCACACAGTACAGAGTCCCAAAGGTAAAACAGGGCATGGAAGCTGGGTGTGATGATGCACACCTGTAATTCCAGCACTCTGGGAGACTGAGGCAGGAGAATGGCAAGTTCAAGCCCAGCCTGGGTAATTTAGCAGCTTAGTGAGACCTTCTCTCCAAATAAAAAAATAAAAAAGGGCTGGGAGTATAGCTTAGCACAAAGGTACTAGGTTCAATCCCTAATACCTGGGGGAAAAAAAGCATGGAGAGGAGCCAAGCATGCCTCCCCTACCTTTCCCCATGGTCACATTGGCTATTTGGGTTTTTTGCCCCATTCCAGAGACAATGTGGGCACCTACAAGCATGTACTCTACAAGCATGTACTCCCCTCTTCTTATATGTGCAAAAGATAGTGTATCATATGCACATATCTGCACCTTGCTATGTTTGTTCAATTAATATACCTTGAGGTCCTTCCACATTCTGTACATAGACAGCAAACTCATTGTTTTTATGGCTGCATAATATTCCATCATCTGGACATACTGTAATCTATTTAGCCTATCTTCCACAGATGGTTATTTAGGTCATATGTTAGCTTTGTTACTGTAACAAAATACTTGAGGTAATGAACTTTTATAGAAGGAAGCTTTGGGGGGGCTCAAGGTTTCAGAGGTTTCAGAACATGGTAGTTTGGCCCCATGGTTTTGGGCCACTGATGAGGCAGGTCAGCAGTGGAGAGTGTACAGCAAAGCAAAAGCATTTGATTCATGTCAGGGGTGGGAAAGAAAAATAGAAGATGGGGCTGCAGTCTCTCTACTGCCTTCCAGGGCGCACACATCAATGCCCTGAGACCTCCCACAAAGCCCCACCCCTTAAAGGGTCTATACCTTCCAGTTGCATCGGTCTGGGGAATACACTGTTAACATTTGGACTTTCAGGGGGCATTGTGGATCTAACTATAGGAAATTGACCCCCAAATTTCATTAGTGTGAACAATTCTGCGGCAAGCTCTCCTGTATGTATGTATGCGTGTGTGTATGCCCACGTGTGCACACCTCCGCAGGGTGGATCTCCAGGGGGGCCCACTGGGTCCTCGGACACGGGAACAATAACAGTGATCACCAAATCACCCTCCATAGGAATGGCACAATCTCTGTTCCCACTAGTGGTGCTTAGTGACAGCTACTCAAGCTGGGAGGTTTCCAGTCCTCAGGATAAGATGGGGAAACTGAGGCCCAGAGAGGCCCAGGGTCACCACAGGACAGTAGGGGCTGGGAGAGGCCCCTCATGTAGTGAAGAGGACTTGACACCACAGAGAGCCTGGGGTTGCTGGGGGCTGGGGCGCTGCACAGGTGGGGGCCCCAGGTAAGCTTTGGCTGGGGAGTCCAGGTTTGGTCCTAGCAGTCATGGGACATGCTACAGAAAATGGGGGCAAGAGGTAGACTTGGGGTGTCTGTGGTGGGCTCACTCCTATCTCCAACCCCAACTCAGGGAGCTGTCCCTGACTCAGGAGGAAAAAGAAGAGGAGGAGGATGTCGAGGAGGAGGAGGAGGAGGAAGAAGAGGAGGAGCAGGGGCCTGAGTAAGTCACCTGTCTGCCAGGCTAAGGGCTCTCCCAGGGAGGCAGGGTTCCTGTGTGCTTCTGGGCACTGACCAGAGACAGTGGCAGAAGCTGGGGTCTCCGCTATGCTTATGGACCCCACAGGAGTCCTCTTATTCACCACTCAACATCCCGCCTCCAACACACATGCGTGTGCACTCTGGGACTGCTGCTGGGTGTCTTCACCTCCAGGTCCCCAGAGCCTACGACAGTGCCTGGCACAGTAGGCACTAAAGAAGCATTGGCTAAATGCAGGGACGGATGCACGAATGGACACACACAATGGGCCCACAGCTTTCCCCTCCTATTAACAAAGCCAGGGCGGCCTCCCCTCACACACACCCCAGCCATCTCATGGCTCCCTGCAAGGCCGTCCTGGATTCTTCTCTGTTGTCAGTGGCCGATTCCTCACCCGCATCTGCACTGCAGCAGTAAAACACAAGGAAAAGACAAGTTAACATCTGGAGAGCAGAAAGCACAAGGAGGGAGAAGGCTGTGAAGATGCGGGGTGAGGAGGATGCTGGCCAGGTGGCTCAGGTGGACAGGAAGAGGTACAGGCAGTGGGCACCTGAGCCCAGTTAGGGTTGGAGCCGTGAAGTGGTGAAGTGAGGTCACAGCCACGGCGCTGACCAGTGGGGCTGGAGGAGATGGCCAGGGAGGGAGTGTGCGGAGAGGAGAGGCACAAGGGCCAGGGAGCTGAGGAGGAGCTTGAAAAGAGAGACAAGAAGAGTGTGGGGCCCAGGGCCCTGCGGAGGCGCTGCCTCCAAAACGGGCTGTAAAGGTCTTGGGCTTGATTTCCAGAAAGCAGTGGGGGGCCAGTGAAGGTCTGTGTGCAGGAGAGCAGTGTGACAGGGCAGCTGTGTTGGAAAGAGCTTGAAGCAGGGGAACCAGTAAGGAGACTGGTAGGGGTTGGTGAGAAGGTTAGTCTTTCCCCTGCTCCAGGTTCCTTGCATTCTTCCCTGTCCTTGTCACACTGCCCACTATGGACCCCTGGCCCGCACCCTCTGGCCATAGCTCACAGCAGGGTAGTGCCATGACTGTTAGGAACCCAGGCTTTGGCATCAGAAGTCCCACTTTGCTCCTGCCCGATCCGAGTTCCCATGTCCACAGCAGGGGGCTAGCAGGAGCCCTGGCAGAGGGGCCACAGTGCGGGCTGTGAGAAGGACGTGGTGAGGCCTGGCCCAAGAGAGCGCTCTGTCCGGGATCACTCATCTCCACAAATGGCCCCTTTCAGCACAGGTCAGGAAGGGCTTACACCACGAGACCAACAAGGGATTTTGGGGCTGGGTGCTTGTGGGGTGTCATCTGCTCACAGTCCACCCTTGCTCAGTTCACATTTACTCTTTCCCATCTTGGCCTGAGGAACACAGCTTCTACTTGCTTTCCCCCAAGGGTGGGGAGCTCACAACCTCTGGAATGCTGTCTGTCCCATCCATAGGTGCCTCTGACTGTGAAATTATTCTTGTACCAAAGTGAAGCTGCTTCCCTCATTCTGCCCTCTGGGCCTCCCCACTCCACACCCCAAAGTGGAAGGGAGACTTCAGGTGCAGCCTGGTTTGCCCTCTGCCCTCCACCTATCTCTGCGTAGAGTGCACAGCTCTGAGTCTCGCCCCACTAAATCTGTGTGCCCAGCACATCGGCCTGCAAGCCCTGTCCTTGTCACTGCACGGAGCTGAAACCAGCTGTGCTAAACACACGCTCTCACCACCCACATGTTCTCAGAGTGCAGTGCACACAAACACACCCATGCACATCTGCTCGGTGCACACAGACACCCACTCCAAGGTATGCACACACTTGCATGTGCAGGCACACACACGCACGCACAGCACCTTTCCTACATGTGTGTGCACACAGGAAGCCTGTACACCCTTGCATATTGGCCCTTGGGGCATGCTCAGAGAAGCACATGCATACAGTTGCCCACAGATGCGGCACATACACCACACATTTCACGAGAAGGTTTCACACGTTTGCAGTACAGAATGATTACATCTATTGTGGGGAGTTGATACCTGTACATAACACATCTTAATTCTTTTTTATCCCCTCAATCCCCTCCTTCCCTGCTCCTTCCATCCCTTGGTCTTCTCCTCTTTGCAAAAACTCTATCCCATTTTTCTGCTGATTGGTTTTTTTCATCCCCTTTCCCTCCTTTCCTTCCCCATTCCCTCCATCTATTGTTCTCCTTCCTATTTGAAAATTCTCCCTACTTTCTGTTATCTATTTATTATTATGTTCTTTATTTATACTTTTGGGTTTCTCATACAAGAGAAACTATGTGATATTTAAGCTTGTAATTCTGATTTATTTCACTTAACATTATGGTCTCAAGGTGCACCCATTTATCTACCAACGACTCAAGTTCATCCTTCTTTATGGCAGAGTGGCACTCCATTGTGTATAAATACTACATTTTCTGGGCTGGGGATTTAGCTCAGTGGTTCCGCCACCTGCCTCACAAGTGCAAGGTCCAGAGTTCAATCCCCGGTACCAAAAGAAAAAAAAAAATACTACATTTTCTTCATCCATTCATCTATTGATGGTCATATAAGCTGCTTCCAAGACTGAGCTAATTTGAATTGTGCTGCTATACATATGGGTTTGCACGCATCACTGGAATATGATGTCTTTAACTGTTTTAGGAAGATACCTAGAAGAAGAATAGCTGGATCAAATGGAATTTCTATTTTTAATTTTTTCAGGAATCTCTATACTGATTTCCATAATGGTTGTCCTAGTTTACACTTCCACCAACAATGTAGAAGGATTGCATTTTCCCTGAGCTTGCCAGTATTTGTTATTATTTGATTTCTTGATGTTGGCTATTTTTTCTGGAGTAAGATGGAATCTCAGTGTTGTTTTAATTTGCATTTTTGTAATGGTCAATGATGTTGAACATTTTTTCATATATTTATTAGCCATTTATACTTCTGAAAAGTGTCTGTTCATTTCAGCTGCCTATTTTTTGATTGGGTCTTTTATTTTTAAGGGTCTAAGTTTTTTAAAAGTTCTTTATATATTCTAGATGCTAGTCCTCTGAGGAATAGCTGGCAATTTTTTTCCCTTTCTGTAAAACCACACACTGTCTTAACTCTGTTGGTTATTTCTGCTGTTGTACAAAAGCTTTTTAATTTGATATGATACCATTTGTTGATTCTTGATACTACTTGTGCCATTGGGGTTCTGTTTAGGAAGTCCTTGCCTATGTCCTCAAGAGTTTTACCTATTTTATCTTCCAGCAGACTGTTTCTTCTTTAACACTTAGATCTTTGATCCATTTGATTTTAGTTCAGTATATGGTGAGCTATATGGGTCTAAACTCAATCTTCTACATGTGGATAGCAGTTTTCCCAGCATCCTTTATTAAAGAGGCTGCCATTCCTCCATTGTGGGTTTTCAGCTCCTTTCACACAAAGTTTTGCCCAGAGCTTGAAAATTGGGGGACTGTTGGTCCCTGGGCCCAGGAGAGACAAGGTTCCTCCTGTGGTGACAGAGTGCATGGTCCCAGGGCTAGGCCAGAGGGCATGAGGCCTGGACAAGCAGAGCTGGGCTGTCACTGTCTGGGGAAGGATGCTCTTGGCCAGCTTCACAGAGGCATAGGTGACTGATGACGCGAGGGCCCTGGTAATGCAGAGGGTCGCCTAGCAACCTCATCTCTTCAGGCAACAGCTCAGCTTTTCCTAGCAACCATGGCCTTTTGGTCCCCACCTGGCCTCCCTGGGGGCACTTCTGCAGAGTTCCCTGCACATCCCCTTCATCTGATTAGAAGCAGGAAGAATTGGTGGCTCTGCTGCCATCCCAGCCACACTGGCTGGGGAGCTGGTCTCCTGGCCTAGCCACGGCTCTCCAAGTCTCTGCGTGCAGGACCAACCTCAGGCCTGGGATGAATGCTCCGGCCCCCAGCTGAACTCCTACAGCATGGGCCTCCTTGCTGGCAAAGACAAACAGACCCAAGTAGGTGGCTGCCTCTGCCTGAGGGCTCTCTCCTTCCTTCCTTTGGGGTCTGCATTTCAGGGAGCAATCTGCTGAAGTCGATGTGAGGACCTTCACTTGGGGAGCACAGCTTGCTGGGGGTTTGGGGCGGGAAGAGAGGACCAGTGACCCTGGAGAGCTGGCTGCTGCTACTAATCCTAAGCTTTAACCTGGAGGCCACAGGGCCCTTGCAAAGCCCACCTCAGCCACGCTTAGATCCTCTGCTTAAAGATCCCTGAGACCTGGCACTGTCTAGGAATTGGTGGGCTGCTACTGCTGGGCTAGGTGAGAAGGACTGGGCACACTGTTGAGGTGGGGCAATGCGGATTTGGGCACAGACTCCCCTCGAGCCTTTGGTGATATTGAAAGGGCCACCATCGGGCTTTCTAGGTGTCTATAGCTGAGGCTGTTTGTGTAAAATGTTCCCCAATCCACGTGGATGATTTCATAACTCTGCAGATCGATGAAGATCTCCTTTGGGATTAAGAATAACAACAAGAGCAATAATAATACCAGCTGCCAGTTAATCAGTCCTTTTTCTGGGCCACATACTGTGCTAGGGCAGTCTGAATGGCAGATTCTGTTGTTAGTCCCATTTCACAGATTGGGGGCCCTGCGTGTCCAGAGCTGCTGAGCCAGGAAGTGCAGAGTGGGTGGTTCTGTCCTGTGTCAGGCTGGCCCCAAAGTGAACACTTGGTGCTGCAGACAAGGAAAGCTCTTTCTGTTTAGAGATGAAGAATCTAGAAGAATCCCAAGAACCACATCGACAGTCTGTTTTGACTTCCCATCCGATTCTCATGGCCCTTCGGACCTCACTCAAATAACTCTGGGGTACAGCCTGGGCCAGACCTGACCATCTGACAGATGAGCAGACAGAGGCAGCCCCAGGGCTTCCAGGGCACTTGACCAAGACCATACAGCGATTTCCTGCCCACTTTAGGGAAGAACAGGCCCCAGAAGGCTCTGGCTGGGATGTGCCAGTGCGTTTCTGGGCCTTTTCACTGGCAGGCTGAGAGCTGAGCAGTGCCCTCAGTCCATGTTGGGAAAGTAGGCACCGCACCCAGATACTTTTAGGGGCCCATGAGAATGTGTTTGGTTCTGTTATTGTTTGATTTTTTTTTTTTTTGTGGTACTGGGGATGGAAGCCATAGCCTCACACATGCTGGACAAGTGCTCTACCACTGAGCTCCACCCTCAGCCAGAGAATATTTTAATTTCTTTTAAAATAAGTCCAAAAAGTCTGGGCATGGTGGCGCATGCCTATAGTCAGGAGGGCAAGGCAGGAAGATCGCTGAGAGTTCAAGGCCAGCCTAGGCTACGTTGTGAATTCAAGGTCAGCCTGAACTGCATAATAAGACCCTGTCTCAAAAAAAAAAAAAGAATTTTTAGACAAAAATTTGGAAGATATAATACTAATATATTAGTCTACATATGAATGTAGTCATAAGAAATTTGTTATAGATTTTTAGAGGAGGAGCCTATGTAAGCTAACATGCTCAGGAGCTGTGAAAGTCATCATGCGGCCTTGCTCTTGGGATTGGAATCTCTGGAAGATGGGTTTCTTCTCTTGATTATTCAGGTCCTTCCCAGTGAAAATAAGAACAATGGAGTGAGTTGGGTGCTCAGATCATCTGGGCACTTGTCCTACCCCTCCATGCACAGGGGGCGGTGTGGATGCCCAGAGAGCCCACAGAGGAGTGGTGAGCCCACGGCCTGGGCTGCAGACACCCGCGTCTCTCCAGGCTCGCCCCATACAGGCTGTGTGACCGTAGACCAGCCATCAGGCCTCTCTGGGGCCCAGCCCTGCCTCTCAGGGTTGTTTGGGTGAAGAGTCAGGGAGACCATGGGTGCGAATGCTTGGCACCATGCCTGGCACACAGCCTATGCGAGCTGCTTGGCGATAGGATCACGGGCTGATTCCTGCTCCCAGGTGGCTGGGCCCATGCAAACTCAGCTACACTCCCATCCTTTCCTCCTCACCCACTCAGGGTGGCAGAGTCTTGGCCCCTGGGTGGAGGGTGGTGAATCCTGGTTTCTGGGTGGCAGACTTTCGCAGCATCCTCTATGAGTGCTTCGGTGACGTGAGTCTGTCAGGAACCAGGACTGATTCCAACTACAAAATTCACATGAACCCCTGGTCTTTTTTTTTTTTCAAGACAGGATCTCACTATGGCCTTACTCTGTGGTGATCCTCCTGCCTCAGCTTCCTGTGTGCTGGGATATTACAGGTGTACATCATCATGCCTAGCCTAGGCCCCTGGGTTTTTTTTTTTTTTTCTTGTTGTTGTTTGGTTTGTTTTTCAATACTAGGGATTGAAGTGAGAGCCTTTGCACTGAGCTACATCCTCAGGCCCTTTTATCTCTTTATTTTGAGACAGTCTTGCTAAGTTGCTAAGTTGCCCAGGCTGGGCTCAAACTTTCCATCCTCCTGCCTCAGCCTCTCAGAATGCTGGGATTACAGGTAGGCAGCTCTGTGCTCAGGGAAGCGCTTGATCTTGAGCCATCATTTTAATCCAGAAATTACATGGGACATCTAAGGGACCAATTTTGCCTAGAGAAGGCTCTTTGTGATATTTATGTATTAATATTCAAATTAATTTGAATTAAATATCAACATCTAAATATTGGGAAATTCTACTTTTTGAAATGTATGATTTAGCTTCCTCTCAAAAATTGGAAGGGGGCTGGGGATTTAGCTCAGTGGTTCTACTGCCTGCCTCACAAGCTCAAAGACCCGAGAGTTTGATCCCTAGTACCAAAGGAAAAAAAAAGATTAAAAAAAAATTGGACGGTCTGGCCAACCCAGGTCTCCAGTCCAAGTGGAGTGGGTTGCTACCTTCAGGTGGACATGAGCTCTCCATTCACCACAGTCCTTGCTGTCCCCTGCAACCACCTCCTGGCCCTGTCACTCATGGATGCCTGCTGCCTGGGCCAGGGACTTTGGACACTTTCAGCAGTTGCAAGGTGGCTCTGATCTTGGGGAGCAGAAAGAACCAAGGCTGAGGGTCAAGGATTATGTGGTTTGGGATAATTTGCTGTGTGGTTTTGGCCAGGTCAGTTTACCCCTCTGGTCCTCATTGTTCTGTACTTCCTGCCTACAGCCCTAAGGTGGCCTGGAGACTCAGGTGCAGCCTGGGCATATGCTCTAGACAGATACAAGGCCTTGCAGGCCCCTTTCCCCACCACCCTCATGCTGTTCTTGGCACATGTTGTCAGCCCTTCCTGGATGTCCTTCCCACCTGTTCCTTGTTTTAACATCATCAGCCTTGAGGCCCTGCTCATAGGCTGCCTCCTCGAGAAGTCCCCCTTCCCAGCAGAGTCCTGTCACGTCCTACATCCCACCTCTGTCTGAGTGCATCTAGAGGGGGTGATTGTGAACAGGATGCCACCCTGGGAGCCTTATCAAGTAAAGACTCGGCCCCTGTGCTCCCTGCTCTGGCCCAGAACTTGGCTGTCAGCAAGCGTCAGGATGTTGAGCCCTTCTAACCTCTGCTCTCTCCTGCCAGCCTTCTGGGTCCCAGTGTGCTGCTGGATAGCTGTTTGGTGGGACGGGTGGGTGTGGACCAGAGCAACTTAAGCAAGACCCAGTGCCAGAAGGCCTCGTTGCAGGTACGTAGAGCCACAGGTGCCAGGTGCCACTGGGCCTGGGCTGGCTTTGGTGAAGGACTGGGCTTGTCCACTGCATTTAGAGGGGTGGGTGGGGATTCAGCTGGTGAGATGCCCATGGGACAGAGGGAGCAGGGTGATGGTCACATTCCTTACCAGGGGTCACATGTTGTCAGGAGGGGGTTTCGGGGCCAGATAGACCTGGGCTCGAGTCTTCACGTGACTGCCCTCAGCCTCTGTGGCCACCTGTGTAAATGGGGCCAAAAGCTCCTCCCGGGGATTTGTAGGAAGATCCAGAAGGGGGAGTGCACTGTGAAGTGCAGGGGGTGGGGAGGGGTTCGATCAAGAGGGTGACTCTCCCAGCTTCTGTGTCTTCTGTTCTTTTGCAGGAGCTGCAGGAGGAGGCTGTGGTTGTCTGCTCAGCAGGTAGGTAGGGTGCGGACTATGCATACCAGAATGTCCAGGGCACCTTCCATCTGGGGCGTCCATACCCTTCTCTCCCTCCCCCTCCTCCCTACTGGCCCTGTCCTTGGCAAAACCCATCCTCTGTGTCTTGGGGCCACATCATCACAGCCAGATGATGTGTCTCAAAGGTCGCAGGGGAATAGCAGAGTCCCCAGGATTCCCGGGGGGGGGGGAGGGGAAGCCCTGTCTCCATCAGCCCCTCCCACCACCTCCTCTCCAATGGGAATGCAGCCCAGGGCCCAGTGAGGGTTTGGCAAAGACAAACATATCCGCAGATAAGTGGCCCAGAGGCTGCAGATGGTGTATTCTAGACCCCATCTCTCTGTGAGCTTGTCCTGACCACCGAGTGCACCAGGTTGTACCAAGCACATTCACTCTGCCAGATTAATACCCCAGCCCCAATGCTGAGCACTCCAGCAGCCATGAGACAGAGGCTACTGGACCTCGAAGTGGCCAGGCTGTTGCACCCATGAGGCCTGTGGTATTGTGCACCTCACACACCTCCACATCCCTCCGTCCACCAGTGCTTTAGCCACCCCATGAGGCAGACTCACCATTTTGCAGATGACAAAACTGAGGCTCACTGTGTACTCAGTTTGGCCAGAAGTTCTGCCATTCACTCCTATCTTCTCTCCCTCTCCTCACTGTGTGACCCAGAGCCAGCTCTGTGACTTCTCTGAGTCATGGCTCCCAAATAGAGAAAAATGGAGCAATAGCAGTACCCACCTCATGGACAGTTTGCAGAGGAGCAGAGACAGTGCGTCAGAGGCACCCAGCATTATGGGTGGCTCTGAGGGAGGAGTCGATAACAGAGATGACCATGTGTGTGTCTTCACCATCCAGCCACTGAGGTAGCTCTGGCCCCTGTCTAACCCAAATGGTCCTTGTGAACGTCAGCCTGAGTCTGTAGGGACCTCCTGAGCCCAGGCCTGGTGCAGGACCTCCGAGAGATGGGTAAGGGGGGGACCAACCAGGTGCAGTGGTGATGCCTGAAGGTGACTTGGAAGCAGGTGTTCTGGGAACAGCACTCTGAGAAGCAATGAGGGGTGGCCATTTGTCCATCACACTCAGAAGCATGGACCGAGGTCCAGTAGCTTTGGTACCCCCGGAGCTGGTTAGAAATACAGAGTCCCAGGCCCTACTCAGACCTGCAGAATCCCAATCTGCATTATAACAAGACCTCCTAGGCATGCGTCTACACATTAGCGTCTGAAAGGTGTTAGCCATGAATCCTGGTTCTCAAACTCAACTGCACATTAGACTCATGAGGAGATTTTAATTTAATGTTTTACTAATGCATATTAATTTTATAAAGTAGTGGGTTTCATTGTGGCCAGACTTAATACCATGATCTCCAGTTCCATCCATTTTCCTGCAAATGATGTTTGTTCTTTATCCCTGAATGATATTCCCTGGTGATATTAAATACACTACAGTTTCCTTATCCTGTCAGCCACTGATGGGTATCTAGGCTGGTTGTATATCTGGCTGTGATGTACTGTGCTTCAATAAACATGGGTATACCAATATCCCTGTAGTAGGTTCACTTAATTCCTTTGGGTGTATACCAAGGAGTGGGGAAGCTGGATCATATGGTAGTTCTATTTTTAGTTTTTGGAAGAACCTCCATACTGATTTCCACAGTGGCTGTGCTAGTTTAGATTCTCATGGAGGAGATTTAAGATTCCTGGGCAGGCATCACCTGGACCATTAAGTCAGATTGCTAGGGACAGGCCTGGCCATCAGGAAGGCTCAGACCTCCTCTGGTCATCCCAGTATGCAGCCTAGTCTGGGCACCAGGGCCCTAGGGAAAGTGACTGCTTCTGGTTGGAAGTGAAATTAATTGACTTTTAGGGTTTCTTTGGGCTAGAACCTTGAACTGGGCTAAGATTACTCGAGTCCAGGTTTCTGTGGCTCTGAGAGACTATGAGTACTGGGTTCTGAGTCTGTTTTTGAATCTAAGATGGGAAATGCTACTATGCTTGGTAAGCAGAGAGAGCACTAGAAGCTGGGGGGATCTGGTGCTGTCCCTTGGAGCTGCTGGGTGGACCAGCCACATGCTTTGGTGACTTTTGATGTTGAGCTTTGGGACAAGCATGATACTTCAACCTTGCAAAGGGCTGTTACCAACACAGGTGGGCACCAGGGTGCTCTGCATTGGTGCCACTTAACTCACGTTGTCCCCACACTGTGATTGCAGTCTCCAGCATCACACCTCTGCCTGCGACCTTCTGGCCCCAGAACCATGACTAACCCAGGCCGAGACATGGAGCTGAATCGCCTGGTCCAGGACCAGCCGCCTGGCCAGGTGGCCCCCAGGCTTGACCCCCCAAACCTGGCAGAGCACCTCCCCAACGTGCCCACCTACCGCCCCCTAGTCACTCGCATCCCTGTCCTCATCTCCCGGAGAACAGCTTTGTCCAACTCCAACTTCGCCAAGGAGACCAGGAGCTCCATCCGTCGCCTAGGTAGTGTGACCTCACCGCCCAGCATGCTTGTGCCATGGCTTGTGCTTCTGCATGTCTTGGGCCGTGCTCTTGCATGGATGTGTGGTCATGGGTGGGATCATCATTGTGCTCATGGAAAGCTACCTCCTTTTTCTTCATCCTGCTTTGTGGTCACTTGAGGGATTTTGGTCCTCTTCTCTCTATGCCTAAAATTCCACAATTAGCAGTTCATTTCTTGGGGTTACAGAATTGCTTTGGTAGTCATCATTTCTTCTACATGCAGTCACTCACACTCTAATTAAAACAAATCACTCATTGGGATCCCCAAGCCATAAAGCTTGAACAGAGAACTGATGAAGGAAAGGACAGTAAAAGGAGGGAAATGGAAGAACAACAGGGGACACTGCAGTAAGAATCTGCTGGTGCTGAGAGTTTGCTTGGAGCTAGACTTTTGGGGGGAGGGGAGGAAAGATGCTAGGGCAGAAAACAGAATCTTGCACATGCTAGGCAAGCACTCTACCTCTGAGCTACATCCCCAGCCCTTTTTATCTTCTTATTTTGAGATAGGGCCTTGCTGAGTTACTCAGGCTGACCTTGAACTTGGGATCCTCCTGGTTCAGCCTCCCAAGTAATTGGGATTAGAGGCATGGGCCACCTTGCCTGGCTGGGAGCTGGATCTCGAGACTGTTGATACCTGCTCAGCAGATCCCACTTCAGGAAAGAAGCAGCTGCCAGGTGTAGGCAGGCAGGCTCACAGGAGGCATCCTTAGGGGCAGCAGAGAGGGAGGGCCTGTCTGGAGCCATTTAATTGTGACAAGGTCCCCATAGGGGCCTTTGGGCTGAGGGACAAGGTGCCAGGGGAAGTACTGTGCATCCAGACTCACCCATGGTCACTTTCTGCCTGAAATCTCTCCATCCCATGTGTCTGGTGACTGACACTGCAACGAGTCCAGGGAGGTGAACAAACACTGCCTCAGTGGAGACCCCACCTCCTCTCTCTCCTTCCTGGTGCCCAGTGGCACAGGGTGGGCGAGGTGGCACTCAGGTCATCTCTGCAACAAGGGGCAATGCCCAGGCTCTGTCTTCCTGTGGCAAATCTTAAGTCTACTTCTGCAGAGGGTCCCCCAACCTCCAGCCCCACAGACCACTCCCCCAGTTATTGTTACATTCTGGACCAACTCTACTTTTATTTTCTATTTTTCTTTCATGGGATCCTCTTTCTATTTAAATGTATGTAAACAGGGAAACTTCTTCTTCCTATTCAAATGGAAAACCAGCGTTGCTTGCTGTAAATAGACTACACCAATAGAAATATCCACAGACACTGGCAACATAATAGGATCTAGAGTTGCTGGTGGCTGTGTGGGACTCGGAGAGTACTGGATTCTCAGCCCCAAGGGCTTCAGCTGTGTCCGAGAAGTGCAGGTGAGGCCATGGCAGCACCAACCCAAGACCTCCCCTCTGCGTATTCGGGATCGAGAGAGACTTAAAACAGGAGTCATGTTCTCATTCTGTTATCATTTCCCTGGTCTGGACATCTCAAACCATCTGTGTCTCCCCAGACCCTAAACTGGGAAATGTTCCCCGTGACACTGAGACAGTGGCTATGGCACATGATGATTGCAGGCGCTCCCGACAGGGGAACAAGCAGTGAGAGCAATAGTGCTGCTCCCATGGCAGTGAGGCTGCCGGGCACCTTCTGAGCTGGACCCGAGTCCTGACTCTGCAGCAGGTGCCCTAGTACTCTGTGCCTCAGTTTCTCACCCACACATGGAACAAAGCTAACAGCCACTTTATAGAACAGCTGGGAAAATCAGAAGTTAATACAGGGTAGTGTATTTCTAGAGTCTCAGCTATTAAGAAGGCTGAGGCAGGAGGAGTTTGAGGCCAGCCTGGGGAACATAGCAAGATCCTGTTTCCAAAACAAATAAAAAAATATATATGTATATATACATAAAACTTAGGGTCTAGCAAAACAAATGCTGGCAGGCATATAGGAGGTGTTTGATAGCAAATATTCTCTCTACCAACTTAATAATGTAAGATGATTATATTTCTAATGTTATTATTCTTAGTCTATACCTCAACACAATATAAACCAATACCAAATTTTTATCTTGAGTTTCCACCATACAGAGCTGGTGGGAAATAGAACACAGCAAGAGTCTAGGATTTCCCCTTCTCTCCTGAGAGTTGGAGGATGCAGGGCCTGACCCGGGGCCAGGCAGGGCTTGGGGCACACCTGGCCTTCCTTGGCTTCCTCAGATAGTTCATTGCAGACGCTCCAAGCATGTTGGAGCTACGGTGGCCTGGCTGCCCCATTCCCACCACCCAGATCAACCCTCCGGGGCTGCTGTGGGGCAGCAGGGCGAGGCCCCCTCCTTCTTCCCACAGCCTCAGGAATCTCTTGTCAGTCTGGCAAGATGTCTCTTGAAGTTTTAAAAAATGTCCCCATTCCTGCTCTTCCCTAGAGGGCTCAGGGTTTAGTAAAACAAATGCCAAAAAGTCTTGAGGCTTCCTTTTGTTTCCTCCATCAAAATATAAAATAAGTATAAGCAACTCCACTAAGTTCAGGTTTTCCCCAAGATGGCCATTTAAAGAGCACATGGAATGGAGGTGGAGCTCGGTGGCAGAGCACTTACATGGCATGCATGTGGCCCTCAGTCCTATCCCCAGCACTGGGGGAGAATAAAGATCACAAATTCTATGATTCCAAAATGCTCTCCCTCCCCTGCCTTGCTGGTGCAAAGCACTGGGCCTGGGAGATACTGGGTGCTCTCCAGGGTGTGTGGGAGGTAGTGCACCATCCCAGTGCCTGAGCTTGGATTCGGGGCAGGCCTGTCCCCACGTCCCTGAGCGGGGAGATGAAGCTGAGGTAGGGCTGTGTCCAGGCCCCTTGGGAGGACTTGCTTCTAAGGTGTGGGGCAAGGCAGCTGTCACCAGGACTCTCAGAGGCCCAGCGATGGGCTGACTGCAGTGAGGGCTAACATGTTCTACAGAAGCTGTCTGCTCCACTGCATGGGTGGGAACTTCCAGATGTCTGCACTTGAGATATACCACCCCCACAGGCTTGGAAGGCATTGCCACCCCTATCTTGGGACAGGGAAACTGAAGCTCCGTCAGAGGAAGCAGCTGACCCAGGCTATGCTAGACCAGGCCCCCATCTGCCACCCCCAACCTGCCTGGCTCCCAGTGTCCTCTCTGAATGTTACCACCCCCTCCCCCCGCATCACTGCTGCCCTCCAGGCTCAAAGAAACCACGCAGGGCTTTGGGGTGGTTTCTGTGGCATGTGGCTTCTCCCTTCGTGGCTGTGGCCCTCAGGGGACCATGCATTCTTGGAGCTCACCCCTGGGCCCTTCAGTGAGTAAGGCTGCCAGAGGCCCCTGCAGACCTGAGCCAGGCATCCGGCTTTCCCAAGGACACAGCCAGGCCCCGGGGACCTGCTTTTCTGTCTCTTTGATCCCATCCCTCCTTCCTCTCCCCAAGTGCCTGCCACGGAAGAGCACCCCGAAGTGCAGGTGGAAGACACGGATCCCGACAGCCATCCCCTCATCGAGGAGGAGAAGCCGTCCTCACCTGGGCTGCCGCCACATTCGCCTGCCAAATCCGACACACTTGCTGTCCCAGGCTCGGCCTCAGGGCCCCACAGGTGACCTTTTATGGTTCTCTTGGGCTTTTCTCAGCTCGGTGCCACCTGTCCATTTGGTAGATGAAGAGACTGAGGCCAGAGAGGGGAAGCAGCTGGCCCAAAGTCACACAGCAAGGTGGTGTCAGGATGGGGATGCCAACCCTTTTCCTGGCTCTTTTTGTTTCTGGCTTAGAGCTTTTTATAAGGGCCTCATTGGAGGCCCTGTCCTGAATACCCTCAGCAGTAGGATAGAAGGTGTAGTATTATGATAAATAATAAAATAATTATAATAAATATAACAACTAATTTCTACTCCCTCATTTTATTTTATATTTTACTTCATTTTTTTGACAGGATGCTGTTTAGTAAAACATACATACATATATATGTATATATATATATATTCCAGGTCTTTTTTTTTTTTTGAGACAGGGCCTCACTTATGTAATTCAGGCTAGCCTTGAACTCACTATATACTGAAGGCTGGCCTCAAATTCAGTGATCCTCCTGCCTCAGCCTCTTGAGTGCTGGAATTACAGGTGTGTACCACCACACCTAAGTTTTTTCTCACCTCTTAACAAATGTAAATGTCTTGTACAGTATTGTCAACTGTAGGCACAATGTTATGCACCAACTCTGTAGGACTTCTCTCACGGGACGCCACGCTCACGCTCACGGACTGGCAACTGTCCTTCCCCCTCCACCCGACCCAGGCCCTGCCACCACTGCTCCTCTACTCTCACTTTCACGGGCCTCACTGCTACGGCGCCTCGTGTAAGTGGAGTTGTTTGTACTTGTCTTCCTGGGACGGTCCTCCTGCCTCAGCCTCCTGAGTGCTGAGATGACAGGCAGGCACCACCGTGCCTGGCCAAATTTCAATTAGTTTGAATGAATACCCAGAAAAGGAATTCTGCCTCCTATGGTGGTGCTAGTTCTGGTTTTTTGAGGAACCTCCACACTGCTTTTCATGGTGGCTGTCCTATTCCACATTCTCAGTAGCTGCATGGGGCTACAATTTCTCCTCACACCAACAGTTAGAATTTGGTTGGGTTGGGTTGTTTTTTTAAATGATGGTTATACTAATAAGTGTGAGGTGATATTTCAGTATGGTCTTGATTAGCATTTTCTTGGTGATTAGTAATGTTAAGCATCTTTTCTTTTTCCTTTTTGTGGTCCTGGGGAGGGAACCCAGGGCCTCAAGCAGGCCAGGCAAGAGCTCTACCTCTGAGCTGCACCTCAGCCCCAGGGACCTCCTCATATACCTGTTCATATGTCTTCCCTGAAGAAATGTCTCTTCAAATCCTTAGTCTATTTTTAGTTCAATAAATTGGGGTTTGTTTTTGTTTTTTCTATTTAGCTGTAGGTATTCCATATTTATTTTGAATAGGAACCCTTTATCAAAAAAAGTTTATAAATATAGTATTTGCTTACATTCTGTTAGGTTTCCTCCATTCTCTGTTGCTTATTTCCCTTGCTGTGCAGAAGGCTTTTAATTTTAGTTTCACTTGCCTATTTTTGTTTTTGTTCCCTGTGCTTTTGGGCCCATCCTCTCATTTTATCATTAGATGATCGAACAGAAACACTAAAGTACCTTTGAAGAATAATTGTTAATAATCTCACCATACCAGATAGTGTTTTTATTTTTTTGCATTCTCTTCCATGCCTTATTGGCAGGCCCATGATTTTGTGTGATTTTTCACTGAAGGGTGACCCAACTTGGAGTCTTCTCTCCTTCCATGAACTTTTTTCCTTATTGCCAGGCTGCCCCCTCAGTGCTCATGGTGACCTCTTCTCGATGTCTTCTGCTCCACGAGGCAGAATGAATGAGCAAGTCCCCACTTGCTGGGTGCTGTGCAGACAGGCACCTGGCCATCTTGGTCTTCTGCTGTCCGTCCGTAGCTCCTCCACAGTAGGTTCTTGGTCAAGACCATGCACATTTTTGTGCTTCTTGAGATAAATTTGTAGTGGAGTAGTTAGTTGTTTTTGAACAGCTGTAGCCAGGTAACAGGGAGAAGGCTGTGCAGACAGTTAAGGCGAACTGTCAAGTGCAGCCCAGTGCTTTATAAATGACTGCATTTCGCTTCTAGGGGAGGAGCTGGTGCTCCGTCTGCACTGACTGGATGGAGAGATGGTTCTTTTGTCTTCATTTTTGCTCTCACCCATGAGCTCCTGAGTAATTTCTCAGCTGAGATCGGTAGCCTGCTAGAATGGAGATGGCCAGATGTGCAAAGGTTCAGATTTGAGTAGAAAAAAGAGACATCATCTCACTGAGCTTAGGAACACAGCTCACAGCTCTACCAGTGCCCATGGTTAGTTTACTAAACTTAGTTTATTCAGAAATGGTGCTGCCTCGGTCAAAGACGTACACTGCTGTTCCCTGTATGTGGGCAGGGAAGCAATAAGGGTGGTGAAGTTACATGGGCGGGGAAGTTACACACAGGCTGGGCTGGGGGCATATTGAGGGGCAGGGAGGGGCCAAGGTGATGTGAGCCTCTGCTTTCGGGCTAAGCCCGGGAGGCTTCTCTTATCTGGGTCACTCATCCACACACATATGGTTACTGAACACCTCTGGGGAAGCAGCATGTCCAGGAGAGACCTGACGGAGGTCTGCACTTGCTCTTGGAGCTGACCGTGGGCCTGAGATAGACAGAGAGCAAGTAATCAAATAGACAAATGAGTGTTTAGTTGAACTTGAATGTGAGAATGGGTGGAGCCTCTTGCCTGAGCCTGGCCTGCGGCAGAGTTCTGAGGCCTGATGCGAGAGGCCAGTGGGCATGGTGGTCAGGGGACAAACTGAGCTTGAGGGCAACTGAGGGGACCTCAAGGCTACGGAGAACACCGCTCTGACCGAGGGGCATCATGCAAAGCCCTTCTCACAGTTTAGGCTGGTGTAGAGGCCTGGGCTGGGAGTGAGGAGCGAACTCCAGCTCCCTACCTACCAGGCGCAGGCCTTGAGGCCAGTCAGAAGCCCTTCCTAGGTCTCCCTCTTCCTCCATGAGGATAACAGGACCATGCATCTGTGGGAATTGTGCTGAGGGTTTAGTAGTGGCTGCCCTGAGCTGTTCTGAACAGGCTGGGGGAGGGCAGTGGTTCAGTGTTGCACTCTGGGTTCTTCCAGGCAGCAGTGCCCTCAGCCACAGGAGGGTTCTGACAGAGATTTCAGGGCTGATCCTCACTGCACCCTGTTCGAGGGACCCCATGTGGATCCATTTCCCATCAAACCCCACTGACTTGAGGAGCACCCTGGTGGACGGTTATCACAGGCTTTCCTCGGAAGACCAGGTGCCAGAGCCTGTTTTCCAGAACTCAGCCACACCGTTTGTCTCCCACAGAGGCGAGGCTGAAGACCCTGGCCAGGCCATCCTGTGTTTCCCAAGGCTGGTGATGCACTGTTGCTTAATGCACTGCACCTCGGCCTCACAGGAGGGCCGGCCTCTGTAACCACTCTCCCGTCCTGACACCCCCAGCTTGCCTTTCATTTTCACTTCCCCAAAGCTGACTCTCCTTGTGGGTCCAGCTGCACATGTTTACCACATTATACCCATGTCTGGCACACTCTGGCTCAAGTCCTAAACTCACCTTCCCGTTCCCAGCTCTTCTGACACTTATCTCTGTGAGCTTGTCCACGTGCTAACACTCGTACTTTTAGTTTCATGTGTTAACACTTGGCATTTTATGTTTTATGTGTTGTACAAATCATTAAGCAATGACCATTCTTGCCACCACTGTGGTGCATGCCTGTAATTCCAGCTACTCAGGAGGCTGAGGCAGGAGGAGCACATGTGTTAGGTCAGGCCAGGCAACATAGTATAACCCAAAATAAAAATTTAAAAGGCTGGGATTGTAGCTCAGTGGTAGAGTGCTTGCCTAGCGTGCACTGTCCCCTGTACTGAAAAAAAGAAAAGAAGAAAAATATAAAAGGCATCCTTAGTTATGCATGGTGGTACACATCTGTTTTCCCAGCTACTTGGGAAGCTGAAGTAGGAGAATCATGACTTGGAGCCCAGCCTGGGCAACTTAGCAAGAACCTATCTCAAAACAACAACAATAACAACAACAACAACAAAATGACCATTCTTTTCCACCAGCATTCAGTCTATTAACTTACAAGACACCGTTCCCAGTGATAGATATTGGCCTGGCCTGGGTGCTTTTTGTATTTGTACATCAGCTAATTCTATTCCATGTTAAACGGGACTCTTTCTCTAAAGCTGAGGCTGGCTTTCTTGGTGCTGTTAACACATTTCTCACTCCTGATCCCTTTTCCTCTTCCCAGGTTTTTGGGTTCTCCAGTAAAACAATTTATTCTTACTGTTGAGACAGAGGGTGGAAAAATCCAGAGAATGAACACCTAAGAGGCCAATGTCAAATAGCATCAAGGGAGCCCCGGAGCAGGCTGGGCAAGAAGCTTCTTGTCCCTGAGATCCAGGTAGATGTTAGACACCACTGGGCAAGACGCGAAGGCCTCCAAATGCAGCACTCTGTGGCAGACTCAGCCCTCAGATAATAGTTTCCATTCTTCAGGTAGGGATCCAGGGCTCAGGAAGGGGATGGGACTTGCCCAAGGTCACCGTCACTGGACACTGGACTCCACGGCCTCCTCTAGTGGCTGAAAGGAAGGTGTGATAGAGAATTGAGATGGAGACTTCAGACTGGAAGTGGAAGGGGGAGGGGGAGGATGTTTAAACCAAAACCTGACTTCCAAGTCCTTCATGTAGTTGGGGAGATTTAGCCCCATATTACAGAGAGGTAAATGGAGGTGGCTCAGAGAGTTTAAGTAATTTGCCAAGGCCATGCACTGGCAAGAGCCAGGATAGGGATGCAAACCCAGTTTTGCCAGATACCAAGTCACTGCTGTTTCCTTTATGCTGGGCCACTGAGCAGATGTGGAGACTGAGGTCCCAAGAGTGGCTGTGTCCCTCTCTGCTCCTTTGTGCCTCCTTCTAGGAAAATGAGGACCCTACGGCAGTACTATCCTCTCCCCCTCAGTCCTCTACCCAGAAACTGGTTCTAGGTGACCTTCAGGGGTCAAAGTCATTCTCTTCCCCTTTGTATGCCCGGGTCCTTATAGGAAGAGGCTGCCCTCGCAGGATGATGGGGCTGAAGAGCTCAAGGCGATGTCACCAGCTGAGTCCCCAGTGGTCACCTCGTCGGATCCTACCACCCCTCAGGAATCTGAGTAAGTGAGGTCACCTCTGTGGCCTCAGAGTTAGAAGGCTGGGTGGGGATGGGTGGATGAGGGGACGTGGTGGCAGTGTGGATGTTTTCAGAACTCTACATGAGGCTAGGGACTCAGGAGTGGTAAGACAGGGCTGGGTCTCCTCCCAGGCTGCCGCTCCTGGGTGGCCCAGGAGCCCTGTAAACTCCGAAGAATGGCCTTAAGCCATGGGCCCAGCTGTATCCACAGCCAGCAGTGCTCAGGAGAGTCTTAAGGCAGAGGCCCCTCTGTAAATGATCCTGGCTTTTGACAGAGACCCTGCAAAGGTCAGTGGGGCAAGGAAGGACACGAGTGTCTCCAGTGGGTTTCATCCCGAGGAGCTTGTGAAAATACAGTTTTCTAGGCTTCCCCCAGCTCTCCAGGGCCAGACCCTCAGATGGTGGTCCTGGGGAGCCCACATCTCCAAAAGCTCCCTGGGTGATTCTGATGCAGCTGGTGTATAGAACAGTGTTTAGAGCTCACAGTGACAGCACTGGGACCTGGTCTCTGACAGCTAATTGTCCCAAAGGCTGGGCCAAGGGGAGATGTTTTCCTAAAAGGTTTTGAATTCCTGGTTGATGGTGAGTCTCCCAGCCATGGGTGCCAGTCTGGAGCCCTGTCACACTCCCTAGCCGTATCCCTTGTGTTAGCCACAGGTGACATTAGGTTTGTCTTCCTCCTTCTAGTCTTTTTTTTAAAAAAAAATCCATAACTTCATGTAGTTCATGCAGTTTATGCTTAACTGTTATTAAAAATTCATAAAATGTAAGAAGTTGGAAAAAATCTCAAACCTCACCTGTGATCCAGTTGTCTTCTTTTGTAAAGTGCACTTACATTTTATGCTGTTGGATAGGGATGGGGTTAGGACTTAGCAGCAGAAAATATGACAAGAATCAGGTATAATAATAGAAATTGCATAAGTAGGTCAACATGGAGACCCATGTAATAGTAGATAGGCAAAGCTGCTGTAATAAATAGGCCCCAGAGAGTCAGTAGCTGAAGGAAAAGATATCTCCTATGTCATGATCATGGCACTGGTTGTACATTTTACATCAGTGGAAGGCTCTGCTCCATGCAGTCATTTAGGGATCTAGGTGATGATGACTCTGCCACCTTCTCCATGTGGCTTCCTAGTCCCACTGGCCACTACTAGAAAGGAAGAGCTCCAGGCCTCTCCTCAGCAAGGAGGCCCTAAGTTGCGTGCCTTGTATCTACTCAGTTCTGGTGGTGAGAGCTCACATGACCACACCTGGGAGTGTGGTCCCTGGCTGAGTGGCCACATCCCAGCCCCTGCTCACCATGGGAGAGAATGGATATGGGGGCACAGCTCGAGTCTCCACCAACCCATGTACCACCTGTTATTCAGAACTCCACCGGGTTGTCTCCAGCCTGGTGTCCCTGGTTGAGCCTGAGAAGAATGGGGGATTGGGGTTTCTGTGCTTTGAGTGGTCACAGTGCAGCCATTCAGAGGAAAACCCACTCCACACCCACCCCAGCCCACCAGGGCACAGCCCTGCACTGGTGGAAGGAAAGTCAGCAGACCCATTCATTCCCTCTGTCTCTGTCTTGTTTGCTGGCAGTGCATAAACTTTCATTCCTCTAAGTTAAACAGATCTATAATGTGTCTACATTGCTTTTTCCTCCAGCTGTTTCCTGAGTTCCCCTCTCTGTTCCGCACTGAAATACATCTCATATGACTCATGCTGGGACTAACAGCCTGATTTTGCCGAACTCTGAACTGAGTTCCATGATTTTCCCGCTAAATTGCAAATGGAATAAACAGTTTTTCGGAACTGCCCATGTGAATCAGAGGGGACATGGTACATTTTCTAAATGCTGGGTCAGAGCACCTGGGTATTATGGCTAGACTGAATTTCCTCCTAGGAGATAGTAAAGTGTATCTGATGTTTCTGATGTCAGAAGGAAGCAGGGGCAGGATTTACCTCCTGCAGGCTCTGCTAGAAGGTGAGATGCAGAGGCTGCCCAGCCCAGCCTGGGTGCTGGGTCCCCTCCCGCTCAGTCGCTCAGCCTCAGGGGTGTTCCCGCAGTGGCCAGGACCGCGCAGCCTCCACGGCCAGCCAGAACAGTGCCATCATCAATGACCGGCTCCAGGAGCTGGTGAAACTCTTCAAGGAGCGGACGGAGAAGGTGAAGGAGAAGCTCATCGACCCTGATGTCACCTCTGACGAGGAGAGTCCCAAGCCCTGTGAGTCTGGAGCTGGAGGTGGCCCACCTGGCCAGGGAGGGGATGGAGCCCCAAAGCCCCTTCCCAGCTAACAGTAAGGGCGAGGGCGGCCCAAGGAAAGAGTTCCCATCAGAGGGAGCAAGGGGGTTCAAACAGATACACAAGCAGGTGCAGGGCTGGCAAAAGCCTGCACTGCTTTCTTCACATGGAGCTCATGGCAGGTGTGGAATAAACATGAAGTCCCTAGTTCTGGCTCCAGGGCCAGCAGTTAGGACCTCAGGCCTGGGTCAGATGGTCACCTGTGACATCCTACAGCCCCAGCCAAGAAAGCCCCTGAGCCAGCCCCAGTCACGAAGCCTGCTGAGGTGGAGCCGGCAGAGGAGGAGCACTACTGCGACATGCTCTGCTGCAAGTTCAAGCGCCGGCCCTGGAAGAAGTACCAGTTCCCCCAGAGCATTGACCCCCTGACCAGTGAGTCCTGGGGTGGCGTTCAATGTGCGGAGTGGAGGGCCGGACAGTGGGTGGTAGGAGTGGGTTGAGGTGTGGTGGTGTGTGAGAGGCCGGGGGAATTTTAGACTTCAAAAGGATTCTGCACTTCCTCATTTCTTCAAACAAACAATAACAGCAGGGGCTGGGGATTTAGCTCAGTGGTTCCGGTGCCTGCCTTACAAGCACAAGGTCTTGAGTTCAATCCCCGGTACCAAACAAACAAAACAGTAACAGCAGGAACAGGAACATAGGATCACATGCTGTGATGAGGAAGCTAAGGCACAGAGAGATTATGCAGCTTAAAGACAGCAGGTAGTGTAGACCCAGGACTTGGGAGCCTTGGCCAAGCCTTCTTTCTACTCAGGCCATAATGGTTCCTTCCCAGAGCCCCTGCTATGAGCAAAGAACTCTGTGTGTGTGTGTGTGTGTGTGTGTGTGTGTGTGTGTGTTTAGTGTGAACCCCTCTGCTTCCCTTTAAGCCTACTCCACAGTCCTCAGGAGTTACACTTCATACGTGCACAGCGTCTCCCTGCCTCTTACCGTCCATTTTCCCATGACTCTGAGAAGAGCCCAGCAGGTGCCAGAGAGGGACTTTCTCAAGGTTACCCAGGAAGTCCTTTAGGGGGCAGCACCCCAACCTTGGTGTCCACTGAGTTTCTTAAGTGACCAAATGACCTATCATGTCCATTCATCCATCCTTCCTTCTACCCACCTGTCTGTCTGTCCTCCATGCATTATTTACTATTCTGTTTTTACAAGGCAGGAAATATGTTGCTAGAAAATTTTCAAAAAGAAGAAAATGAAAGCAAACAGGCACCCACTTGTAATCTCAACTACTCCAGAGGCTGAGGCAGGAGGATGGAAAAGCTTAAGGGCAAATTAATGAGACTGCAAGTTAGTGAGACCCTATCTGAAAATTTAAGAAGAGCTAGGGATGTAGCTGAAGAAAGAAGGAAGGAAGGCAGGCAGGCAGGCAAGCAAAAGTGCTTGCTACTTAGTTATCCATTAATAATGCCACCCTCAGCCAGGTGTCCAGGTGTGGTGGTTCACATCTGCAATTCCAGGACTCAGGAGGCTGAGTCAGAAGGATTGCTGGGAGTTTGAGGCCAGGCTGGACTACATAGTGGGTTCAAGGCCAGCCTGGACTACATAAAGAAATCCTGTCTCAAAAAACAAAAAGCTGGGCTGGGGATTTAGCTCAGTGGCTCCACTGCCTGCCTTGCAAGCTCAAGGACCCGAGTTTGATCCCCAGTACCAAAAA